AGGCGTGCTGCCAGCGCATCCCTCCTCGCCGCCATCGGCACGACGCCCGCCTCTGCTCTCACGGCGTGCCTCGGGGTGGAGATCGGACAGCCAGTGATGGTGCGTGCCGCCGCCAGCATCTCCACTTCCAAGACGCCGAGATGCGTTGTCGCAGCCGCAGGCAGCCACGCCGCCGCCGCGTGTTCTATGGCGCCGCGGATGTATCCGTTTGCCACCGTCCGGAGGAGTCTCTCGCCGAGCCCCCACGACCTTCCGGTGAGCTGTCTGAGTTGGTTGATTCGTGGTCTTGTTTTTCTTCGTAGACGACGGCAGTGCGGCCCGAAGTGTAGGAGTCTGTCCAGTGTGACACCCAGGAGGTGGAGGGTCTCCTGCGCCTCTATTGTGTTTCCAGCTACCTTGATGCGGCAGTCCTTGGCGTCCTTGGCTTGCTGCGAGAGAACCAGGAGTTGGGTCTTCTCGCCGGAGACCTTCATCTTGGTTTCGCGCGCCCACCTTGTCAGCGCGTCGGCTGCCTTCTGGGCCCTCTCCCTCGCCACTTCAATAGTGTTGCCCGCGCAGAGCACCGCCGTGTCATCCGCGTACATGTAGGGTGTGCATCCGGGGATCTTCTTGATGACCTGGACCAGCGGCGCCGCCCACAACACAAACAAACTGGGCGACAGCACACTGCCCTGGGGTAATCCGGCGCGAAAGACCCGCTCACCGGACAGAGCCCCGCGAACTTCCACTCTCGTCCTTCGGTCTCTCAGCCACTGCCACACCCAGCGGACGAGGCACAGCGGCAGTCCCTGCTCGGTCAGGTTGAGCCGGAGGAGGCGGTGGTCCACTACATCATACGCTCGGGCAAAATCAAAAGCCACGAGAACGTATTTCTGTGCCACGCTTCCATCAGGCCTCCTCGCCGCCGTTCTTCGATCGACCGCCGGTCTCTGCCATCCGTCCTGCACCTCTTGGACGAGGCGGCCGATGTTGTCCTCCACCGACCGCCCCGCTCGGAAACCCGTCTGTTCTGGAGGGAGCAACCCTCGGCTCTCCTCGAAGTAGGTAAGTCGGGCCAAGATCATGCGCTCCAACAGCTTGCTCAGGTTGCTGGTGAGTGCTATCGGCCTGTAGCTGCCCAAGAGCCTCTTGTCTTTGCCGGCTTTCGGAATCGGTATCACCGTCGCGACGCGCCACTCTTTCGGGACCTCTCCGGAGCTCCACGAACTGTTAAATGTCCTGAGGAGTTCTTTCTTGGCAATCGGGCCGAGGTGGCGGAGCATCTCGTTGGTGATACCGTCGGGGCCCGGCGATTTCTTCAGCTTCGTTTCCACGATCTGGGCGTTGAGCTCGGCCAGGGAGAAGGGCGCGCACATCTCTGTTCTCCGGTCTCGGCACTCACATGTCCGTGCCGCCGGTTGAGACAGCTTGCGCTTTGCGGTGAGGTCGACCTTCTTGTTTCTGACATGACGCGATACTTGTGCGTATGCCTTTACGAAGGCGTTAGCTTTCTGCTTGTCCGTAACCAGAAGCTTATTGTCGTCGTCCATCATCGCCTGGCCGTCTCGGTGCTCATCGTCGGTCGCTCCTTCCCACTTTTTCAGTATCTTGGAAACTCTTCCGAGGCTTGCTGGGCGGTTCAGTGTTGTTCCCACAAACTCGCGGAACTGCTCTCTGGAGACCCGTCCCTCAACCTCGGTGGCGCGCTGCTTTGCTTCAATCCAGCGCGCTCGGCTGTCCGGGTCGTCGGGTCGGATCTCCCGTCTGGCAGCTTGGCGGTCACGGATGGCTTCCTGCAGATCAGGATGGAGGGCCCACGGTCGGGGGTCCGCTCGCGCCCCTCTCGGAATGTGTCGCTTGGCCGCGTTCTGGATGGTTTCCGTCAGGCGTGTGGCGGCCTCCTGAGCCGTCCGCGTCGGCACCGTCCCGGTCAGGGCAGCCTCGCAGTCGTCCTGGAAGGCTCGCCAGTCCGCCTTGTGGTGAGCCCATCTGGCCTTCCTCTTCCTCTGAGGACGCGCGTCGGACGCCCGGATGGTGATCTTCATCGGTAGGTGATCGCTGCCGAGGTCTTGTCCAACTTCCCAGGTCGATCTGCGCGCCATCATCTCGCTGCACACCGCGAGGTCCGGTGCGGAGTGAGCACCAGAGCGGTAGCTGGTGAATGTCGGCTCTCCAGAGTTTAGAGGCCGCCATCCGATGTCATCCAGCCAGTCCGCCACTCGTTGTCCCACCTCGTCCGGCCCATCGCAGGCGGCGTCCCACAGGGGGTGGTGCGCATTGAAGTCCCCCAGGACCAGCGTTTTGTCGTCTATCGGGATGGACTCTGGGTCGAAGTTGTCGGCACGATCGTCTCCCGTCGCCCGGATCGGCGGTCTGTAGATGTTGATAACAGTCAGGTAGGGTTTTCCATCCATTCCTCCGTCCAGCAGCCTGACCCCACAGATCTCCGTTGAATCGTCGGCAGCCGTCGTCATTTGGTCGTCGATGACTTCAAAGTGTCGACCGGCTCTGACGTACAGGGCCACGTCTCCACCCTTGACGACCGTTGCGCCCGTGACTCTTCCGCGTGCCCTACGCACCACCACCGGCGGCTGGTACCCCGGCAGTCTGGAAGCGATCTTCGGGAGCTGAGCCTCTTGAACGGCCAGTACGTCGGCTTTGACCGCGGGAAGCCAGCGTTGGAGCTCTCCGACCTTCTTACGGAGCCCTTCCGCATTCCACGACACCACGGTCGTGTGGCTTCTTCCTGCTCGGTTGCGACGGTACCTCCTGTTCTTCGCTCTCCGATGACCACTTCCCAGCGCCGCCGGCGGTGGCGCCCCTCCGTCGGCGCTCACGGAGGGGGGCGCGGGGCGCCGGCTAGTCATCTAGCGGGCCGGGGCCGGCGTACGGTCCGCCGGCTCCCGGTCCCGCTGGTGGACATCCGCTGTCCTGGGCGAAGGTTGTCCCGGTGATGATGGTAGTAGTAGTAGTAGTGAAGTCCGAGAGCAGCAGCGGCGGCGGCGGCCGGGGGGCCACCGCCAGGCACCCCTCCGATGGGGCACCGAGGACTCCGTTTGGTTTCCCCGGCCGTTGTCTTGGGCCCGAAGGTCCCGGCCGGGGACGGGCCCGGAGGCCCACACCTCCCACCACATGAAGGCGGAGTCCACCAGGAGGCATGTGTTCAGCTCGACGATACGGATCGATTGATATGCAACATGACCCTTTCCGGTTAGGTCATGACCTTGACCTGAGGTCAAATTTTCAAGTTGACCTTTCAAGGTCAAGTTATAGTTCATTCGATGCGTCTTGACGAGAGGAACACGATGCCGGTAAAAGTAAGCTCGTACAAGGCTTGAGTCAAAAGTTATTGCAGAAAAGCTGTTTCCGAAAAAATCGGCTATTTTTGCAGTTTTTGCCCCCTGCAGGCAAAACCGTTGACGTTAGGTGAAATCTGAAAACATTACTCAGAAAGGGCGTTAATAGGGCTATCGAATGCGCTTTTCCGCGGCGCTGTAGCTCTATCGGTTCCCGAGTTATGCGTTGGCTTCTTGGAAATTGTCGACATTCGACCTGGAAATCGGCGAAATTTTGCCTTCAATGACCTCTGGTGACCTGACCTTTGACCTGACCAAAAAATTGACCGAAGTGATTTCGTCATTATTTTTGACGCTCTTTCGAACGCCGCCTTCCGCGTATCGCTACGTAGCCCAGGAGCCGAGTTAGAAGGGGGGGGGGGGGGTTGTTCAAACCCCCTCCCCCCCAGCAGGGCGTGGAAATCCAGGACCCCCAGCAGGGCGCGGGTTAATTAACTCCGTTCTTTCTTAGGTTTGCCAGACTATAATTTTCTCATTATTTTGACCCGCTTTCGAACGAAGGGCAGCTTATGGATTATGGGGATGCAAAAAGATAGGTATGTTTGCCAATGCACGCCTATGTTTTCTTATGAAAATTGAGGGTGCAGGGCTGCGGAGTGGGAGTCGGAGTCGGAGTCTGAGTCGGTCGGAGTCGACAGTTGTGACCGGAGTCGGAGTCGGAGTCGGAGTCGATTTTAGAAACCCGAGCCGGAGTCGGAGTCGGAGTCACCGAAAATCTGTCGACTCCGCAGCCCTGCTAGGTCTGCGGAGTCGGAGTCGGGAGTTGGAGTCGGTCGGAGTCGACAATTCTGCCCGGAGTCGGAGTCGGAGTCGGAGCTGGTTTTTGAAAGCCGGAGTCGGAATCGGAGTCGCAGTCGCCGAAAATTCATCGACTCCGCAGCCCTGGGTGCAGCTGCACACCATGCACCCCCTCTGCCTCCGCCCCTGATTTCTTGCCACAAACGTCTTCAACTGCTCCCGAGTGAAAGAATGTACCTACGTTAATATTGAGATATACTCATTTTGTGAAGGTTGGGCAAAACCTGACCACTACTGGGGCATTCCCTGACTCTACTGGGGCATTTGCCCCAGTAGCTAACATGTTAGCCGAGGCCTTGGTGGAGCCCCAGCCGGCCGGCTATTGGCCGCTGAGCGTGGGAACTGCGTGCTGATTGGTCGGACTGAGCCGGAACCGGCCGACGATCGGCCGCTAGGCGTGAGAACTGCGCGATTATTGGTCGAACTGAGCTGGAACCGGCCGACCTTTGGCCGCTAGTCGTGGGAACTGAGTGATGATTGGTCGTATACGATGCATGCTAAGTAATGTGAGATCAAATGATAGTGCTGTGAAATGCATTTTAAAAATGTTGAAATAACAATTAGGAAATCCCTTCATTCATGTTAACTACGCTATGTCAGACAGCAATACCGCGTCATACGCCGAGCAGAAACGGCACTCGTTACCGCTTCCTCAGATCTTTGCGAGCAACCGGGTGGATGTTACAGACGTAGGGCGGGAGGGGGGGGGGGCGAAGCTTTGGCCATCTCTTGCAGTACCGTGCCGCCTGCTACGTGGTCCTTGAGTTTGAGCGAAAAGGAACGAGAACGTCCCGATGTGCAAAACATGCGCTCCACTACATTTCAATGGGTAATGGGCAAAGCTCATCGGCAACGGACAAACATCCATTGGGACTAGTGTGAATATTTATTGGCAGAAGCATACCATAGGCAATCGGTTATACATCAGCTAAACAATCCACGGCAGATTCACCTGCACCAGTTAGAGAACAGCCGAAACGAAATAAAACAACCCCCTCTCAGCGTGTTGATCACAACAAACCGTTACTCATCATGACTTCGGAAAGCAAACATCCCTATGAAGCGACCAAAACTAAGCGTGTCGGCGCGCGGCGCTGCCGGGCGGCCGTGGGCACCTGCGGGCGCGAGCTAACAATCCGGTGTGTCTGCGGGGCGGGCGGGCACGTGTCGGCGGCGGCAGCGGCGCTCAGGGCACCTGCTGCAGCGCCTCGCGCAGGAACGTGTCCGGGTCACCGGCCTCAGCCAGCACGCCCAGCACGTCGAGCATCTCTGCCAGCGAGGCGGCCGGCAGCAGCTCCTGCTGGTAGCGGCGCAGCAGCCGGTCGCAGGCCTCCAGCAGCGCCTGGTCGTGGTGGCGGATGTACTCGGCCAGCGCGGCGCACCAGTCGGCGCCGCCGGCCTCCGGCGCCGCGCGCGACAGCACCATCGTGTACAGGCCGTCCACCAGGCCCCAGAAGATGGCCCACGGTCGGTAGACGGCCCACGGCAGCGGCTGGCGCTCGGTCAGCGCGCGGCCGCCGCCGGGCCGCGTGTGGCGCGCCTGCGCCAGCACCAGCAGGCGCGCCAGGCAGCGCAGCCGCAGCTGACGCCAGCCGTCGGGCGCCAGCACCAGCGGCGCCATGGCCATCCAGAAGAGCGGCCCGTCCGGCTCGAAGCTGGTCTCCACCCAGCGGTCCGAGGCGGCGCCCAGCTGGGTGGTCACGTTCTTGAGCTCGCGCTGGCCGATGCGCGTGCTGTTGATGACGTAGAGCGCCATGTGCATCAGGTGCGGCACGATGTAGATGTTGCTCTGCGGCCCGCCGCCGCCAGAGTCGTCGCTGAAGCTGCGCTCCTGGGCGAAGCGCAGCAGCAGCAGCTTCAGGTCGTGCACCGTGGTCTGGTAGCCCACGTCCCGGTGGCCGGTGCTCTCCTACGGAAAAACACGGCGCCCGGTTAATACAGTCGTGTCGCACGGCAGATGATGAATACTTTACCTGCCATACGGCACGCAGCCAACGATATGCACCCACCCATCAGCATTGGAGAAGGTTAACACTTTGTGATTGATGAAGACGTTTTCAATTTTCCATGCTTTCCATTTTAATTATTTTTCCTATTAGGTGTAGGTGTAAAACAACATAACCTGTGGGTAGGTGGTGTGGCGTGCCAGGTAGGTGTAGTGTTAAACTAACCTTCCGGTAGGTGTTACGGCGCGCCAGGCAGTGGGAAGGTGTAGGTGTCAAACTAACCTTCCGGTAGGTGTTACGGCGCGCCAGGCAGTGGGAAGGTGTAGGTGTTAAACTAACCTGCAGGTAGGTGTTGTGGCGCGCCAGGCTGCGGGTAGGTGTAACTATATGTTCAACTAACCTGCAGATAAGTGTTGTGGCGCGCCAGGCAGTGCGCGAACGCCGACTCGGCCACCTGCGGCCCCCAGAGCGGCAGCAGGCCGTTGCAGCGGGTGTTGGCGTTCTGCAGCGCGGCCGACTCCCACTCGTCGCGCGCGCGCGCCAGCCGCACGGCCGCCATGTGGCAGTCCACGTGCACCAGGTTGAAGTGCGTCACCGTCGAGTAGCCCATCGTCTTGCGCTGCTTGGGCTCGGCGTCGTCGAGCGGACAGCGCTTGGTGAACGTGTAGATGCCGAGCACCTTGGTGGGCTGGAAGCGGTAGCCCTCGCGGCATATGACGCACGTCAGGCCCTGCTCGTCACTGATGTCGTCCAGCTGCCGCAGCACCGACGACTTGATGGCCACCTGGCCCTTGTCGTTGGCGCGCATCCCCAGGGCGTCCAGCTGGTGCTTCCGCATCGCCATGGCCATCCGCTTCTTCTCCTGGCGCGTCTGCTTGCGAACCTGCTCGATCTTGGTGGCGACCTGGCGGCGCAGCGGTCAGCGGGGAGACAGTCAGTGGAGATAGGCGGCCAGCGGGGAGACGGTCAGTGGAGAGCGGCGGTCAGCGGGGAGCCGGTCAGTGGAGAACAGCCGTCAGCGGGGAGCCGGTCAGTGGAGAACAGCCGTCAGCGGGGAGCCGGTCAGTGGAGAAAGGCGGTCAGCGGAGAGACAGTCAGTGGAGAACAGCCGTCAGCGGGGAGACAGTCAGTGGAGAAAGGCGGTCAGCCGGGGGGGGGGGGGGCAGTCAGTGGAGAACAGCCGTCAGCGGGGAGACAGTCAGTGGACAACAGCCGTCAGCCGGGGGGCCAGTCAGTGGAGAACAGCCGTCAGCGGGGAGCCGGTCAGTGGAGAAAGGCGTTCAGCGGGGAGTCAGTCAGAGCAGAGCGGCGGCCAGCGGCCGCACGACAATGGTTAGGGGTGCACGGAACACGACAGGAGGCATGCTGAATGGCGACGCTTCCCTCTGTCCTCCCGTCGCTTGCCCTACCCTATTCGTGATAAACACCCCATGCCATTTAACGAGCATGTATCCGTGCAGCCAATTTCCCCGTTACTTTCCTTTCCTAAGCATAACACGTAAATAAGTAAGTAATTAAAGACGTAATTCAAATATATGTTATGGGCGCAAAATGACCTCGTAGTCGGCGCGCCCCTAACCCCCAACAAACAAACAAGAGCATGTAGCTGCAACCATACAAATATGTCCTCTATCTTTTCACGCGTCTCTTCGCGTGCCCCCATATTCACCCCTCACTCACCGACGAGACCTGTTCACAGTGACCTCCCCACACCTGTGCCCGTCCCGGCCCGCCGCGGCACTCACCTGCCGGTTGGTGCGCAGCGCCTCCAGCAGGTTCTCGGCCAGAGAGCCGACGTGCTGGTCCGACGACACCTGCTCCAGACGGTGGATGATCGGGATGCTCTCGGCGGCCACGGCCAGCTGCGTCGGCTCGTGTTTGGTCGCCAGGCCGGCCAGGATGCGCAGCGCGTAGCTCAGCGCCGGCCGCGACAGGAAGCTCTTCCACTGCTCGTCGTTGGTGTTAAGCAGCGCCTTTTTGCCCGGCGGCGCGTGCTGTCGCAGGTAGGTGAGCGCGCGCTCCACCACGCCGGCGGCCACAAACATGTCCTTGAGCTGGTTGCCCATGCAGTTGGTCTCGATGCCGGCGGTGAGTGCGCAGAGCGACTCGAGCAGCGCGGCCGACTCGGCCGGCTGGCTGGCGTCAAACTCGTCAAAGTCGAGCACCGGCTGGAAGTGGTCGATCAGCAGGCGCATCTTCTCCTCGGAGCCGAACGTCAGGAAGGGCAGCACGCGCATCAGCTGCTGCAGCAGTGCGCCGGCGCCCTTACTCTGCAAACGGACACAAAAATCAATGCGAATGAGGCGCACGCCATGGCTTTCGAAGAAGTGCCAGGTTCCGAGCCGCGTTGCGTGCTTTTATTTGACATATACGCGATTCAGCTTAAATTACGGTGGCTTCCTGAACAGTGAATTGTTTATTTTAAACGAGAGACTCGTGCCGCACCCTCAGACGGCCGCTGGTGGCAGGCTAACTGACCTGTGCCATGTGCACGTGCGACAGCAGCAGTCGGATCTGTTCCACGGAGCCGCAGGTGGAGGCGAACCGCCGGTACTCGTCCAGGTCCAGCGAGGTGGCCTCGGCCAGCACCACGGCCATTATCTGCACCGGCGAGGCGGGGTGATCAGCGGTCACAGCGTATCAGACGGTCGCCACTTCATACCAAACGAAAAGTCGAGAAATGCGCGACCAGTTACACGTTACAAGAACGTATGGCTAGACTGTTTCCGCGGGTTCCAATTTCGGTAAGCATTGACGGCAGGACCGTGACATAGGTTCTGTATTGCAGGTACGGGCCCGGGTGAAGCGCCGCGCCGTGCCGTCTGACCTGCAGCAGCTGCTGGGTGACGGTGGGACCGCCCGGCGGCCCAGCCACCAGCTCCGGGTCCGCCTTCAGACACAGCGCCAGCAGTCGCAGCATCACGGCCACGGCGCGCAGCTCGGGACGCGTCAGCGCCGCCCGGTTCTGACGCGTCTTGATACAGAGCCCGGTCAGCCGCAGTAGGACGGTCAGCAGCGGCCGCGAGCGCTGCAGGTCCTCGATGTACTCCATCCGCCGGAGCAGCTCCTGAAAACGACCGGGGCGGAGAGACGGCGACGTTACCGGTGACACATTCTGCGGAGTGTGGGCTAAGCGACCAGAAACTGACCACCAGGGTGCCAGCCCATTGCTCACCTTCCGTGAACTCATCGTGAAACTCGACCGGCGTGGGTAGGCGGCTTAATCCGTAGTGATTTACCTACTGCAGTAAAGCCGCTGTTACCCACACTCACCTGCAGGCCGCCGCAGTCGCTCATGACATTGGCCATGCGGTACGTCTCCTCGTCGTCCCGGTCCGTGTCCGTCTTGGTCTCCAGCGACTCGATAAATTCCTCAGTAGCGTCGCCGAGCAGGCCGCGCATCCGGTACACGATACGCATCGGCTCCGTGTCGCTGCTGGCCGACGGCAGCCACACCTTGCGGTACACCTGCGGGGAGAGGAAAAGACGGTCACACAGTATATACCTGGTCCTTCGCGGAGAGATAGCCATAAGACAGCCACACCTTGCGGTACACCTGAGGGGAAGGGTAGGTCGTCATTCACACATGATGCACCTGCGAAAACGGTAGGTCTGGATATCATGGAGCAAGTTATCCAATATAACTGGATAGTGGAAGTCACAATCCAGCACAACCAGGCACTACAGGCCGAACCGATACCCATATGCGGGGAGATGAATAGCCATTTAGCAGCCCCATCCTTCAGTACATCTGGATGCCATAGTCACTAGTCAGCAGCCGCCCGGCTGGCTACATCCCTCACCTCTTTGACGGGCAGGTCGAGCGAGATGATTTTGTTGTTGACGAGCAGCTCCATGCCCGTGTCGTCTTCGAGCAGGGCCACCAGCTCACAGTCGCGGCAGATGCGGTTCTTGACGTCTCGCATCAGCGGGCCCATGCCCGGGTCCGTTGAAGGGTACGGGTTGCCCACCATCCGGCCCTGGACAGCAATACAACTGTTAGAACGGGGCGACGGACACGGCGCCACACACAGCACCTCGACACAGTCACAGTTCCATCAGCATAGGTCAGTGTCACAGCCGCTTATCCCGCCGTATCAAAACAACGGGAGAAGACATCAGCCATATTAAGACATGTACAGTTCAAATCGTCACACCGCCGTGCTGCCCAGGGCAGTGAATCGTTCCCACCTGCAAAAAGTCCTCCTGCTGCGGGTCCTTCTCGAGGCTGAGTAGGAACGGTCCCAGCTCGTTCAGCTCCGGCTCGATGATGGAACACAGCCGCTCGAAGATGAAGACGGGTGTGCGCACGTCCGAGCGGCCGTACTTGGCCACTGTCTCCACACAGATGGCCATGAACTGGCGCGTCTCAGCCTCGGTGCCTGCCGGACGCCGCGGACAAACGTCAGACGTGAGAAACGGCACACACAGGACGGCACCGGCCTCTCGTCAAACTGAGCTGTGACTGACGTATATTCCTGACAGTCGGTGGAATGCTTAACCCGCGCACCGACGGGGGGGGCGGATATCCGCCCCCCCCCCCTGAGGTTTTTCGCGAATAGCGGGAAAACCGCGGCGCGTAGCGCCGCGAAATTTGGTATGACTATTCCCTTATCAATTTTACACAAGGTGTGCAAGTTTGAACCTCCTACCTTTCAAGGTCAGGTCACCAGGTCACTTTGAATGACCCAACCTCAAGTCACTTTTTTGCAACTTTGTCACCGTGCCAGAGCTACAGTAGATGTCGGAGGCCTTTGAAAGTCGCAGGATGTTATTAGGTCATTAGTAGCTACAATTTGTATATCTCGGAATTTTGATATCGGTGACCTAAGGTCAGGTCAATTTCGCGACCTCCCCATTATAAGTCAATGGGGGAAAAATCAACTCCCTGTTTTTACCACTAAAACGGGTCGGAATGGCCCCATATACCATACATGACTTCATATACGATCAACCTTCACTACCTTGAGGTCTGTTTTGCTGTTGGGCAGCTGTGAGGTCATGTGACGTCATCAAAGGTCACCAAAGGTTTTTGGCCAATAACTCCGTACAGGAACAAGATACAGACGCGTGGATGGTCTCATTGTGTTCAGCTCGTCAAGACGCATCGAATGATATACATGATGACCTCGAGGTCACGTGACCTGAGGTCAACCTTTGACCTTGACCTTTCGAGGTCAACATATATATCATTCGATGCGGATTGACGAGAGGATCACGATGATGCCCTTAGTTTGTTCCTATCTTGACTAATTCGAAAGTTATTCGAGAAAAACTCTCTCCATATTTAGCGCCGCCATTTTGACTTTTTCGACCCCTGTGACGTCATCTTTGACCTGACCTGAAAATGACCTTAGTAAAAATTGTAGATCTTGACCGTGCGTATCCGATGCCGTTTACCGCTTGTCGCTATCTTGCTTCGTTCTCGAGATCTCAGGGGGGGGGGGCGGTCATCCGCCCCCCCCCCCCGTCGGTACTAAGTTGGCGCAGACCCCCGTCGGTGCGCGGGTTAATTGCATCTGATATTAAACGCCTCCCAGGAGCTGAAGCCGACTCTCCGATACATAACCCACGCTCTCCAGCGTTTCACCCAACCAGTTACGTGTCACACCCGCCTGCCCCTACCGCTCCCCACGTCTGCCCCATCCCGACACCCACCCGACGTGATGTCCTCCAGCAGCATGAGCAGCCGCTCCTGGGTCTCGTCCACCAGTTTGGTGCGCTGGATGACGAGCCGCCGCAGCGACAGGTAGCCGTGCAGCACGGTGGCCAGCAGCGGCGCCTTGTGCCGGCTGCGCACCGACTCCAGCTCCAGGAAGGAGATCAGCAGCTCCGTCAGCTCCTTCAGCGCGTACCCTGAACACCAGCGCAGAGTGGGCGGTCAGTGGGAGATTCAGCGGGTCAGCTCCTTCAGCGCGTACCCTGAACACCAGACGACGGCGTGGTCAGTGGGATAATCAGCGGGTCAGCTCCTTCAGCGCGTACCCTGAACACCAGCGCAGACAGACGGTGCGGCCAGTGGACGAGTCAGCCAGCCAGCACAAACGGCTGACATTTTCTTTCTTTTGCGGGAGCTGCTTTGACAAAAGCGAGTAAATATTCAAGAGCAGGGTTCATCGCGTATTTAGTATTTACTTACACGTATTAAATACATATATTCGTAGTTACTCTTATACACGCGTATTTTTCTGGAATCGTTGATAAACTGATTCACGAACTCAGAAAGTCAAACAATTACGACTGAAGTAGAACAACTGAAGTGTAAAGTATGCGATTTTTTAACGTCTAATTGAGAACCGAAGGTAACAAAGAAGGGATCGTTTTCATCTGGCCAGTGTCTAGGGCGGGCGCCGTACCCTGCGAGAGGTCGCTGTTGAGCGTCGTCTCCTCCAGCTGGTTGAGGTTGTCGATCTCCTTGGTGATCAGCTCGGCCAGCAGGCCCAGGATGCCCTTTGTCTGCAGCACACAGACACACACCCGTGGTTAACATCCAGACACACATACTAAGACGCGTGTGGTCAGTAACACGGCCTGGGAGGCCAATCAGACAACCAGGGACGTGATATCAGTCACATGATGAGTAGATACAAGACCGGTACTAGCACACAGCTCACACACACGAACATAGCATAATTGCTTCCTTGAGTTACCCTAAAAACAAACAATTAAGCCGCATGAAACGTTACATGAGCGATACTTTTGATAAATATATACAACAAAATACTATTGATAAATGAAAGAGCATTTTTAGTTTATTTAACACGCGTACCATTGATGGCAAGTCCATACCATACAAGGCCGCATGCTCAACGACTCGAGGCTGGACGACAGACTGCCTTCCTTGCATTTATGTCACATTATCGAAATTGCTGTCACCTGGCAAAGAGATACTAACTGAAGGTCGTCCTTCACCAACAAAGATATTGGAGACCGCGCCGTCTTCAATGCCTCGCCGTTTTGTCTTTATGAGCGGCGGCATGGGTCACTGAGCAGTCCAGTGTGCAGGGTAAACATCGCTCGGGAGCTCGCCGCCTTGATCTTTGTGCGGCCACTGGGGCGCGACCACTGTCTCCTGGGGCGCGACCATTGTCTCCTGGTGCGCGGCCGGCGGCCCCCGGTGCGCGGCCGGCGGCCAGTCGGGCCCGGTCAGCGGGGTCGCGCTGGGTCCGGCTCGGTCGGCGGCTCGCGGCGGCCATGGCCCGGCGGGTCGGTAAGGTCGTCCGACTGCTCTTCTACGGCAGCCTGCTCATCTTCTGCAGCATCGTGTTCGGAATTCAGGTGGGAGAGAGGATTCGGCAGTCGCCGGCCGGTCTCATCGGCAGTACCTAGTGCCGCAGTAATTGGCTTTGGGCGAGATATCGCACATACCACTCTATCCGTTCTTTCGAAAATTCCACAGATGTCATTCGATATTTCATTGCTTAATTACTGGCGAGTAAACACTCACAACTAATTCTTGCCAGCAAATATTCGCAAGAATATATTACAAACACAGATCACGATATTGTGCTATTATGATTCTAATTAGCACAAGAAGTGCAACCGCTAGACACACGGTAAAGTAAGGAGGTGCAATGTGCAGCAGAGCAGATTGCGGCGCTCACCGCCCGCTCGCCGCAGCTGACGCCCGAGCTCCTTTGTCGCAGGTGTGGATGCTGGTCCGTCACTACCTCAACGAGCCCGTGGCGCTGGAGCTGGGCGAGGAGCTGAGCGGCGTCACGGACGCCCCATTCCCTGCCATCACCGTGTGCGACAGCAACCGGCAGAGTCGGAGCGTGGCGCGAGCCTGGGGCGTGCTCAATCCAAAGGGCACGGGCGTCAGCTGGCGCCGCTTTCCGTGGCACCGCCGGCCGGTGGCAGAGTTCTGGGAGGAGGCGGCGCCGCGCCTCACCAGCCTGGTCCAGCAGTGCAACCGGCGCGAGTGTCGGCCGACCGGCGCGCGCGGCGGCTCCACTCGGCAGGGCCGCTGGACGGCCGGCCGCTACCGGCGCGGTCTCTGCTACACGTTCCGGCCCAGCGGGCCGCTCGTGTTCAACGGCCGGCGGCGGCTGGCACTGGTGCTGCACAGCGACCCGGCCGAGCACACCGCGCACGGCCACAGCAACTACCTGCGCCGGCCGGCCGTGGACGTGTTCGTCGCCGGAGACCAGCCGCCCATCGTGGACAAGGACTTTGAGGACGCCGAGCGGAGCCCGCACCTGTCCGTCGACGTCGGCTCGGTGGTGAGCGCGCGGCTCGGGGCCTCCCGCTGGCACCGGCTGCCGCTGCGCCGGCGGCCCTGCCAGCCGGGCGCCGGCCACTCGCGGCCGCGCTGCCTGGTCTCGTGCCGCTGGGAGGAGCGGTCGCGCGTGGTCGGCTGCCGGCCGCCCTGGAGCGCCGCGCCGCCCTCTCTGCCGCTCTGCGCCAACCAGACCGAGTTCCTCGGGATGCTGTACAAGGATTTCCGGGTGCCGCCGGACGACCCGTGCGTGCGGCGCTGCCTGATGGCCTGCAACAGCACCACCTACGAGCTGCGTGTCACCAGTCTGCTGGCCAACCGGAGCGGACTGCTGGCCGTCCACCGGGCCGTGCTCGAGCTGCACTGGCCCTACGCCATCCAGCTGAACGCCGAGCGGCCGGGCTACAGCCTCTCCGACCTGATCTCCGACCTGGGCGGCTCGCTCAGCCTGCTGCTCGGCGTCTCGGTCGTATCGGCCGTCCAGCTGGCCGAGCTGGGTGTGCGCCGGGCGCTGGGACTCTGTCTCCGCCACTACCACCGCCGCCGCCGCCGTCCGGCAGTCCGCGCAGCAGACTGTCCGCTGAGACCCGGCGGGCCGGCCAGTCCGGGAGCCGCGCACGGGACGTCCGGGCTGCCAGCGGTGAGCCGCGGAACCGAGCCGGCCCCGGCGGCGGCAGCAGCAGTCTCCTCTCGGGCGGCCTGAGTCCGGCCAACACCGCACAGCGCCCAGAATACCGTCCAAGTACCCAGGCGCAATCACACAGTCGTGTCGCACAAAGCACATACTCCCTGCGAATATTGAATTATGTGTTACGGCACGGCACATAACTCAGCAGCCCTTCGGTACTAAAAGGCGGCTGTGTTCGTGTCCGACCTACACCGCGCTCGGTACGGACCCACCCTGGGCCCGGACCGCCCGTCGGTACAATTTCACAGGGGCGCCGAGCTGGAAATGTCTGAAATGTCTGGTCACCAATTTGGTGAGGGTTATACCTACTTGTTTAAATTCTGTTTATGTTCTTTGGGTGCAATAAACAAGAATCTTTCTCCTCACAATGACCGATCACCAAAGTTCGTTTTTTAGTTGACAACAGCGGAAGTGTGCCCGATAGCAACTGCTCGAAGAACTAAGAGGCCTTTACGACCGGCCGACAGCACTGACAGGCGCGGCTCGCCACCGACACTGAGTACTCACAGTCAGGTAGTACTTCCAGTGGTTGGCCGCGATCAGCTTCTGGTAGAGGTCGATAAACTCGGCAGCCGTCTCGCCCGCGTCACTGACGTCACTCAGGTATGACGTCAACATGTCCAGGATCTGACGTCACAGATACGGGCAAAGGTACACCGGTTAACGGGATGAAAAATGATGGCCTAATATGCAAGAAAGGAGCAAAAACACAACTGTAACTGCAATCTGATGAGGCAGCTCAGCCAACATATTAACTACAACAGTCCTACATCGAGCACTGAATATGTACTCGTGCCAGTCCAAACTAAGCCCAACTACTGTTTCGATTGCAAAATATTTGACAAAAGTTTGTCATGACACTGCCGTGTGAAAATTGGTCTGCCATATGAGCGGTGAGCGCACCTGTCGTTTTCTGGCCGGCTCGCTGGCCAGTGTCTCCACCATGTCTGCTGCCACGCGGCGCGCCAGCCGCGAGCTCGGACTGAACAGCACGCGGCGCAGCCACGAGGTGTCGAGGAAGGTGACGGAGATGGCCGACTGGGTGGTGCGCTGGCGCCACCGGCGGCCGTACTTCTCCATCAGGAACAGGGCGCGCACCTCCGACCGCTGCAGCGGCACACGCGGACAGACGGAGGGGGACGGTCAGCGGGGTAACTCGGGGAGCCCACCGCAGGGAGGAGCACATCAGGGCAGCCCGCAGCAGGCCGGTGACATCACCTGGGGCTTCATGGGAGTCTCCTCAGACGAAAAACTCGAGCGTAACAAACAGTCACTAACAGCTGGCCAAATATGATCGTCACAGTGGTTAGAGCACAGGACACACTGCGACACAGCAATCCACGGAACAGGTACTGAGACAATAAGACCCACGCCTACTGTCACTGAGGAAAGCTCAGTCTCTTACAACAGAGTGTGATTCTAGCCAATCCATACAGCAGTTTCAGGCTGCTCGACCACTTACCGAGGCTCCCTTTGCCGGCTCTCGGCCGCGTTTGGCCTTGCGTGACCTCCATGCCTCGAATGAGTGCTGCGGGGCCTGCTGGAGCCAGCGTGAGGCGCTCAGATGCACCTCTGGCTGGTCGCCGGCCGTCACCGAGCTGGGTGCCGGCTGTCGAGCGGACAGACAGCGGGGAGACGTCAGAAGTGAACACGAAACGGGACGGCCGTTGTCCCACAGCACCAGGCACAAAGGAAAGGAGAGGGTTCCTGCAGACAGCGGTGGTAGGGACAGTTTGCCGGTGCATAAAAAAAAACATAAACACGACTGGTTACATACACATACGGGGGAATTAGGGGGCAAACAAGCGCGGACAGAGCTAGTCGTGAAAAGACAAATGGAACCATCAATACTACACACATACATGAATGCCTCCGTATATCGCAAGTTCTCCCGCTCAGTACGTGAGCAAACGAAGATGGGGTGCAGCGAGCCAAGACCAGTGTCAATATAAACACGACCTCCGGCAGTGCGCTGTAAACATTATTTCGGCCATCACAAAGGCGGTAGGAAGTGGCAGTGAAAAGGCGATGAGGCATACCTTCCATAAGGTCTGTCACAAATGGAAACCCAAACACAACTGCGAATGGGCCGAACTCGAAAGACCACCACGCTAGGAAAAACGGAAACAATTACTATGAGCCATACAAACTAATCATGTTCGAAGGACAGCTCGAAACCGTGACCAAGAACAGAACTAGAAAACCGGCACCTTAATATTCGTGCTTCTGAAGCTGTCGGTTTTTTCAATTTAATTTCGGATGAAAAAGGAACCCAAGGAGCCACCCACAACACGTCACAAAACCCAATGTCTGCCATTATCGAGTTTTACCTTGGACGGCCCGGGTACCCCGGCCGCCGATGTGCTGGGTGCGGGCGCGGCGGCCGCGGTCCCCGACCCGCCGGCCGCCGCTGACCCGCCGGTGGACGTCCCCGCGGCCTCCGCGTCGGCCGGCGGCTGCATGACGCCCTGCAGGATCTTCAGGCAGGGCAGCGTCACAGACTCGATCACCACCGGGTTCTTGTGCTCCTTGCCGGCCATTATGAAGATGCGCACCACGCACCTGGCAGGGCGCAGACAGGGGAGGACGTCACGACATAGCTCGGGCGAGAAAATGACACATCCCCTGTCAATGGGGTCAAGAGCGGCAGCACAATAAGACCGAGCTCCAACCGCCGAGAAACACCGTGGAACTTTCATATAGATCTAGTAAAAGCGTCAATAACGCAGAAACTCGGCCATTAAAAGAGACAAAGTGCGAGCAACAGGCAGCTAAGTCAAACCTCAGACAGTCCGGATTCCGGATTGAGCAAGTGAAATAACACGATCGTTAATCTCCCAGCCCAGTTTTCAAATCCCTCCAGTGCGGCGAGAATCTCCCAACACACCGTACGGACCTGAGCCGGTGCTCCCAGCACGAGTCCTCCTTGCGTACGGCGGCGGCCAGCAGAGCCATCTCGTGTCGCACGGCGGCCGCCACGCCTGCCGAGCTCATGCCGCTGGAGAGCGCCAGCCGCACGCGGCCCGAGATCAGCTCGTTGAGCTCGAGCGTGGCCGCCAGGTTGTCTTTGGTGAGCAAACAGAGGAGCTGGCACACCTCGTCACGGCTCTGGGACAGAGTGAACACCAAAGGTCAGCGGCAGGGTGAGACCAGCACTACGAATGAACGTCAGTTCACGAGGAACAAACATGAGAACCTGCAGAACGTCGCCAGATTCTCAACCACATCAGCGCGGCCGCGCAGCGATCACTGGTCGTAGCTAGTACCCTCGTACCCAGGCTGATTTCCAACTGACCATAGCTCTCTGGTATCTAGACCGTCTCCCTCGGTCTCACCTGGGGCGTGCCGCGGCGCAGGTTGTGCTCCAGCAGCTGTGGGATCAGGCCGTAGCTGCAGAGGGTGACACGCAGCCGTGGGTTGGTGGCCAGCGCGCGCAGCAGCGTCACGCAGCACTCGGCAGAGGCACTGCTGCAGCCGTAACAGCGACCGTGGCTGGTGGTCTCCTGTGGGGACATGGGCGGTACGGTCAGCTTCATGAATCAGAGGAAGGTGGTATTGCGTTCGGCAGGCTAGTAGAGGGGAGTTCACGACATCGTACAATCATCAGGACAAGTCGAGAACGATACATTCAGCAAACACCCTTCTGAGCAGCAATTATAAGAAGGGTATTATACATCGCATATTTAACTTCGAAAACAACTTAGTATGCCCTATCCAGCTAAGCAGATTCTTCTCTGTTACCATTCATGACTTGAGCCCACCAGGCCCATACCTGTTGCTCGCACAGCCACCAGCCCCTGCACCCCGTAGCCGTTCCGCGCGGCACCCCACTCACCTGGCAGAAGGCGGGAGCCGAGGCGGCCGCGGTGCCGGCGCCGTCGTGCGCCTGCCGGTCGTAGCGCAGCAGCTCGCGCCGCGAGGCCAGCACCTTCTGTATCACCTTGCTGAGGTCGTCAAAGTCGCGTCGGCAGTCGCTGCAGTACTTGTGCGCCAGCTGAGGGCAGCGCCGGGGCGTCAGGACAAGTTACTGGTGTAAACATTCACCGCAAGAGACAGTTTGTCACTGTATGACAACGAAAATCATTTATTACAGAAATATAGAGGTTTCTTTTTGGACGATGTCATCAGAAGGTTTCAAACACGCCTTACGCCAACGATGTGCGTAAACCTCTCGTAGCTATAAATGAAAAGGTAAAACGTTGATTAAAGCATAAGGTCCACAGCCTTTTCAACCGGTAGACAGAGCAAGGGTCGCGCCGCGGCCCGATGCCAACCACCCTCGCCGTGATCCTACCTGCTGAATGGGTCGGCTGACGTGCGATCCGGCGGTGCCGGCGGCCAGGTCGGTAGCCACCGCCGCCGCCGCCGCCGACACCTCTCCGCCGTGGTCACTGACCCAGGCCAGCAGCGCCTGTCCAGGGACAGGCTCGGTCAGTCAGGGGTCACGGGTTAAACCGGGCAAGTCACAGTAAGATACATCAGGTACGTAGCTGACATGCTAATTGGCAGGCTTTGGATGATGTGTTGGTCGCCGCACCAGTCGCTCACCTCCAGTGTAGGTTTGTAGGACATGAGTTTCTTGTAGATCTTGTCGGCACGCTCCAGGAGTCCGTTGATGTTTGTGACGGCCTTCTTTCTGTCCTCCTCGCTCTCAATCGGGTCCACGGCGCAGCACGGTTTGGCCGTCAGCGTGTACTCGAACTTGGCGTACTTGCAGAAACCGCAGGCGTTACACAGGAACGGGTCCTTCTCGTCGTAGTTGATGGCCCTGAACACATCAGTCAGGGAGGTCAGCTCTGACGTTATGGCGGAGAAAGTTCACATCGACAGTCGCGTTTAGATCATATGACATGCGGTGGTAACACAGACTCATGAGCCATAGCGCGGCGGCTTCGATCCCAAATTATTAGCCCCAGAGTGCTCAACACTCCTATACCGAACACAGACACGGCTGAATGTGTGGCGTGGCCGGCCCTGTACGCTTACCTGCACTTGTGGCACTGGAACACGTTCTCGCCGCAGTTACCACAGACACCCGGGTGGGCCGGCACGGAGGCACTGCAGCGCGGGCACTGCAGCGTCTCGGACGAGGCCTGACACGGACGTCACAGTTAGAAGAAGGATCTGAGTGGTATGACCCAACCATCCCACTGCTAATTTTACATCCAAATAACTCAATCGCCCTAGCAAAACCACATTTCGGTTCGACAGTAGCGTCTTAGAGCCATTTACACAGAACTGGGCTGGTAAAGGCAATGAACCTGCACGGGCAACGGGCAGCGAACCGCGGTGAAACGCACCTGCATGTTCTCGTAGAAGTCGGCGTACTCGATCATGAGGTTGCAGGCGACGATGGGCAGCGGGAAGTCGAGCTTGACGTCCGTCTGGCCGCTGGTGAGCGACACCTTCTTGGCCTTGTGCCACATGGCTGGAGCAGACGGACGGGTGCAGGAAAGCAGGGGAACAGTCAGATGCAACAACGGCTAGTCACATCGTGGGACGCTGAGACGCGCATAACGATACAGTGTATCGTAGACATCGTCGAGTAACGATTTCGTATGGTTTACGTATCAAAGCTACGAAGTCACCTTCCCTTCACGACGTCTACCCTTCGCTTCAGCCAACAGCTGCTCGAGGCCCGATCTGTCACACTCACCGGGCCGGTTTTTGAGCTCGACCACCGACTGGACGGTGCGGTTGTTGTAGTAGACGTTGACGGTGCGGACCATCTTGGAGCGCTTCAGGTCGCCGATGCGCAGGAAGATGCGGCTGATGGTGTGGCTGCCGACCAGCTTCACCAGCTGCGTGGTGGTCGTGTAGCGAGAGTCCACCTGTCGGCAGGGGCGGAACACGTCAGAAGTCGGTGTGGGTCCGGTGGCGGCAGATATTAACGGAAACTGATCGAAGGCGTTGCATAATGCATACTGATTTGAGGTGAGCTGACCGCTATGAACCCTAAAATAAAGCAATACATGTCTTATTAGCTCCTGCGCAGGAAAAAAAGCAAAAATTACGTGAATAGCAAAACGCATTCTGGTAGTTTACAGCAGGTTGAAGGCTCGCAAGTCAGAACCTATGCATTCTCAGCTTCGTCATATTGCCTCCTTTACAGACGCTGAACATTCCTCCTCCCTTTTCCTGTCTCTCATCGCCTCCCGCTGTACCCGTCCCCCTCCGCGGTCACCTCACCTTGACGTTGGAGAGTTTGAGCTGCGAGTAGGGCACCTCGGGGTTGTTGCACACCAGGCAGGGCTCCGACTCGAGGTAGTAGCCGTCGAACTCTACCAGCGCCGCCAGGCCGGCGTACAACTGGCCGTTGGCGTGGTTGGCCAGCTGCTGGTTCTGCGTGCGCAGCATCTCCATGGCGTGCTCCATGTAGGCGGACACCTGACGCACAGACGGGGAGGAAGGAGGCATGTCAGCGCGGCCAGCGGCATGGACGGGTGCCAGCGGCAGCTCAGCTGAGGCTACGACTCCACATACGACACACAAGATATCGGTGTTGGTACCCGCGGTATCAGTGTCGGTATGAGCGGTCAGTACCGACATCGGTGTCAGTGCTGGTACAAATGTCAGTGTCCGCACGGGTGCCAGTACCGCCTCGTAGCTCACCTTGTCTTCAGCCTCGGTGGTCTTGAGCGACATGTAGCCGAGCAGGTCGACAAACTGAGCGGCCTTTCGTCCGTAGGAGGGCAGCAGCGGCCACAGTTTCCAGAGCAGCTCCACCAGCGACTCGCGGTCGGCCGGCGGCGCGTTCCTGGGGCGGGATAGATGGTCAGCAACGGGTCATACCAGGGGAGTACAAGCACGACAAAGTGGCGGTACCGAGACAACACACCACGAACCGAACGATACAGAGTCGAGCAAGAGTAATAGCGCAACGATAGAAATCGCTGCATACATGCTCAAACAGGTATTGAGTTACATGTTCAAAAAGCAGACAAGCTATCGATGATTACAATTTGCTCATGGCTGCTCTAAATGATACTGCGCTATCAGGGCTGAGGGTGTGCTGTTAGTCTTTTTTTAAAGTTTAGAACGACCAGCCGCGGCCGGCCATCGTCCCCTCACCGGTAAATGCTGAGCACCAGCGCGTGTGCCTGCCAGCGGATGGCCGTGGCGTTACTCTCCAGAAGGAAGGTGCGCACGAAGCGGGCCGTGCCGGCCGGCAGCGGACCGGCGCCCATCAGCTGCCGCGTCAGCTGACGGCTCAGTGAGGAGCCCTCGCTCTCAGCCGCCTGGAAAGGGACGGGTAAGGGGTGTCAGGCAGCCTGGCGGAACAGAGAATACGTTCTCGCTTCAGGCGGCTGGAGAGTGGAGACTCAACCCCAAGTTACTGATTGGGGTTGGGGTACTGCAGTCAGATATAGATAGGTCAACGATTCAAAGCAGCTTACGAGAAGAAATCCGCGCGGTAATAGGATCCACGTCGACACTTTTACCAACCGAGCACCCACAGAGATACGTTAACTTCTGACCACTGCCATTCTACATCAGCAGCGATGCCACTGTCCCTCCGTCCGTACCTGGGCCGAGTGTTTGGCGCTGGAGCCGGAGCCGGCGGCGGGGGCGGCCGGGGAGGCCACAGCCAGCTGCAGCAGCTGCAGGATGATGGGCGCCACGCCCTCGTCCAGCTGGTAGCTGGCGCGCAGCAGGAACGGCAGCACGGCCGAGCGGCCGGCGCAGAAACGCTGCCAGTTCACTGAAGGTACGATGAGAATTACTGTCAGAACACATCTTATCAGGCTGCAGTACGGGCTAACAAGGTAAAAAAAAACAACATCACAACACAAACCGCGGTAACGCAGACCCGTCAAAGCCACCGCTAAGACTATCGTAGCTAATTAATCGAAGTCATTCGGCATGCAGCTTAAACAATTACTGACACCAGCCACAGGGCACTCTCTACCGAGGTCTCCCCACTGGCAGCTGCCCACCCGCCTGACTGACCGGTGCGCGTGGTGGCGATCTCCTGGCACGCCTTCAGGTGCTCCACCAGCTCGATCAGCGAGTCGTACGTCAGACAGAGGAGCGGCGCGTCCGGCTCCGAGCCGCCGCTGCCGTCCCCGCACAGCGTCTGTACCGCCTGGAGACACACGGAGCCGGGCGGGAGACGTCAGCGACAACGAGCCATACCTACATATATGCAAACGCGGCGGGTGAGACAGTCGAATTAGCAAGGCTCTGCTTCTTTAGAAGTGGGATTACTTAAGGGTAATACGTTCGTGATAATGAATTAGAGTACCAAATCCAGTTTCGTACAATTGGATGCATCTCGAGATTGGACTGTGCTGATGTTAGCTGCAGCTGCGGGAGGAAGAAGTGGGACAAGTCCTTACCTTGATGTGGGCGTCGAGCGCGTGCAGGTCACGCAGCTGGCGGTACGTGTCCTTGTTGCCGCAGATGTAGAGCAGCAGTTTACGGACCTGGCGCCTCACAAACGGCGTCAGAGGCGCCATCATGTACTCGCACAGAGTCTGACGCCACTCCTGGGGAACAGAGATGGAAGGATCAGCAGTCAGCACACCCACTACTGGATCAGAGAGACGGGCACAGCAGACAGTGTATCAGTCAATGAGATGAACACAAAGGTCATCACAGACGGCCTAACCTAATGCTGACAGCCCGATGTCACTCTTCACAAACGAGGTTACGGCATTTAATGTAGAAAGTATAATGCATTATGCAGATCTTTGAATACAGGGAACATGAAAATTCACATACATCCAATATCCATGGAGTAAATACATTTCATATAGCGTCTGGCATCCTCACCTCGCCGAAGAGTACAACGTTGGACCCTGGCACAGCGCTGAGCACCTTCTTCACCTGGTACGGCAGGCGCAGCACCATCTCGGTCAGCAGTTGGGAGAACGTGACGAACACGTCCGACGAGTAGCGCTGCCGGCGAACGGGGCACAACGTCAGAGAAGGCGCAAAGGTAGTGCGCGCCCGGTGTGGTCTTGGTGGTACAGGCATAACTCCAGGTTCCTAGCATCGAGCACGAACACCGCACGGCATAGTGAGCTACACAATACTGAATATGACCAGGCAGCCCACCTTGACGTATTCCTTGAGGAAGAAGGGCGACATGTCCGGTGTAGAGGTGACCGGATGCTGCCGGAGCAGCTTCCCGCCCACCACTGTGCCGCTCTCCTCCTTGTCACTTCTGCGTGGAGGGGCGAGATGGGTCACTGGTCAGACACACGCACCAAGATGACACAAGCAGGCAAGGTGGCCAGACGAGGTGCGAGTGTTGCTCAGGTGGAGCAAGTCAACGTAATATGTCGTCAAGAAGCCGCCGGGTAATAGAGCAAAGAAAAGATATGAATAACGCGAGCGGCCGAAATGGCGTCCGGAGCTTGGGCTGCGGTACTGACGTTTTCCAGAAGGCGAGCAGCGCCTTCAGCGTGGAGAGGCAGTGTGTCATCATGTCGGCCTGCAGCAGAGCGGCGGCCGTGGCGGTGGCGGTGAACGCCCAGCAGTCGCCGCCGTGGCGGCCGACCTGCTTCGGACGGGACATCAGCACGCCTGGCGGAGAAACGATGGGTTAGCTCCTACGCACAGTATACGCTATGATTTAATTACACACTACACACCAAACACAGAATGAAGTTAAACGCACAACCACCCCGGAACATGCTACATACACGCAATACATCATGCGTAGCTTGACAAACAACTGGCAAACATCCTCAATCCTCATAGATCTCCGGCACTTTAACACCACCCCGGCAGAGTGCCGACACTCAGCCCCACTTACTCAGCATCCTCATAGTGATGAGTCGGATCTCGGCGTCGGTGCTGCGCTCGTGCGGCGGCGGCGCGTCAGCGGCCGGCTCAGTGTGCAGCTGGGAGACCAGGGCGCGCAGCAGGCCGTCCAGACAGGCGCGGTCGCGCTCCTCAGAGCCGTCCAGGTCGGAGGCCAGCATCAGCAGCACCTGCAGGTAGGGGATGGCGCGCACACCGCCCACCCGGCGCACCTGCGGCAGCCACTCCAGCAGCCGCTCCGTCAGACTCAGGCGCAGCGCGTGTAGCCGCGCGCTGGTGTCCGTCTCCGGCTCGTCGGCCTCCGCCGGCTGGCGACGAGAGGAAGGAGAGTCAGACTTGGACGACAGGCGCTACGACATAATAACAGCAAGAGAGCAAACGGCCGGTGGGAATGATCAGTCGTGATATGTGAACGATGAACTACACACTGAACGTATAAAAATTGATAAGACACTAATAATTATAAGCCTTCAACATCCTACCCAACATCCTAGTCAACACTCAACAGCATCGTACCCTGTGTCTCTTTCTCCACCCTGACCTGGTAGTGCCCCGGCACGCCGACGGAGCTGGTCTCGCTGCGCGCGCCGGCGGCCGACTCGTGTGCTCCGTCTCCGTAGGTGGAGCTGCGTCCTGACATGTGTTCGCCGGCGATACTGTCCACCACGCTGGCACCACTCTCCGAGCCGCCGCTGCCCGCCTGCAGGCATAAGACGGAGACGGTTACCGCGAAGACACATAGCCAGAAACGAGCCAGACGACTAGAGCCAGTTATCTTACATCAGAGTGCCACTGTGCCATTCTCCCCTTCCAGTCCCATACATAAGCCTTCTCAGACATGTCTAAACCTAGCTTTATACATTCAGTCATCCGTGATGGGGCGAACGAGCGGCGGCGCGAGGACACGCACCTGCTGGTCGGCGGAGGACACCCGTACCTGTTCGGCGGGCGACGTGCGCAGCGTGGATCCGTCGGTGGCCGCCGTCGAGCCCTCGTCGTCAGAGGCCGGAGCCGAGGCTGTGGTGTCCGAGTAGTGGCCCTCGGCCGGCGCGCCCGACGGACCGGCCTCCGCGCCACCGGCCGCGCCCAGCAGGTTCTGTAGAGAGCAGGCGAACGGGTAAACGGTTACGCAGTTTAACGGTCACAGGACAGGCAGTCACGGGTAGGTATCATAAGCTATATAGTTAGAACCATACATAGGGACCCTGTAGCATAAGCCGTTTGTCATATGACAAGGACGCAACACAGATAAAGCTATCGTAACCGATAAGCGTTGCTGAAAATTTCGTTTGGATCAACATTTCCGCACCAGCAGCATTTCAGCCGATTCCACACCGGCCGGTCGTCTGCAGGTGGCTGGTCGCCTGCAGTGACTGGCAGCCCCAACCCGACCTTGGTACCTACCTACCTCCTCTCGCCACCCAGGTCTTTCCGTCAGTTATCCCTTACCTGCAGCGGCTGCCCGCCGAGGTTCTGCAGCGCGTCCAGGCCGACCAGACCCTGCAGCTGCTGGCGGAGATTCTGCAGCGCCGCCGGCGTGCCATCCTGGTCCTGGTATAACGCGGGACAAGACACAGACACTGAGCGCCCGGCTGAACAACGAATATAGACGGCACCGAGCATAAACCGCGGACCACAGACAAGACCTGGGAGCTGACAAAACACTGAATGGCGGCGATAGAACAGACTTAAGCACGGTATTTGGCGACAGAAAATCGACCTTTGCAGTAACGATTAAAAATAAGCGTATCAATGTCGCAATATTATCCTAAAACAGGCAATACCTTTTAATACTGTCTGGATAAAACGATAAAGCCCATAGACAATACGGACAAAACGATACCATAACGGTTTCGCCATAAAATCAAACCACTGATACATATATATGTCCAACGTTCATAATAACTTTGGCAAGCAGCCCGAACATAAGCCCACCTAGCAGATGAGCCAGAGAGCGGGTAGGAAATGGCTACCCCGCAGGCTGGGAGTCTACTGACCTGCAGGTTGACGAGCACTGGCCTGCCGACCGATGGCACTGACCTGCAGGCTGAGCGCGATGGCCAGCTCGACCATGGTCTCGTCGTCGGCGTCCGGCGGCAGGTCGAGCAGCGGCGGCAGGCCCTGCGCCTGCGCCAGCAGCGACTCCACGTCCAGACCGTCAGACTCCAGCTCATCGTCGTCATCGTCACCCGGCTCTCCGGCCTCGTCCACTAGCACGGCGGCGGGAGACTCAGCGGGCGCCGCTGGCGGCGGACCGGCCGCCCCCGCCCGGGCGGTACCCGTGCCGCCTGAGCCGGACGGCCGCTCCGGAGGGGTGGACGCCGCGGCCGCGCCTGCCGGCATCGCCAATGGACTTGTCACTCTAGTCCGCATGACCAGTCCGTCAATGCTATAATGATCGTCGGTTGAAATCCGAAGCGACAACTTTGTGACAATATAATTCTGGTCGCTTATCCACAAAAACACTTTAATCATTATCATTTGTTGAAACGCAGCATATAGAACGTCGAGTATCACTATCACTGCGCCCATTGATATAAACCACCCCGTAACCGACCTGGTGTGGAGCAGCGCGGCGGCGACGGGATGAAGACCCGGCGCCGGCGCTGTTTGGGCCGCAGCACGCGGATCAGGCCCTGTTTGGCCGCGAAACTGACAGCTAGATCGTCGGAGAGCAGCAGTCTGGAGATGACGGACGTCAGAACGGCAGCCGTCTCCGGCTCCGTGGTGAGGAACGCGTACAGCACGTCCGAGAGCGCGTACACGCACGTCTCCGGATGCGTCAGACCTGCACACAGAGCGGAGGGTGAGTTAGTCTCGCACAGCGTACACGCACGTCTCCGGGTGCGTCAGACCTGCAGACAGGGCGGATAGAGCGTATGACTGGTTAGGCGTGTGTCATTTCGTGTATGCTCCGGTAAATATGAACTATTTCAGGAGCGACATAGACGTTTCATGACCTGTTACGGGACATTCAAACGGATACGGTCATAAAGTTCTCCGTCGACGGCACAATGAAACACTGTATTGAGAAGTCTCTCCTTACCGGGAACACAGACGGGCGCCGTCAGCGGGTTCTCTGGCTGGGCGTCGTGGAGTCGCCAGAACAGCGCCATCATCAGCGAAATGAAGTCGGTACTGCTGCCACCGCTCTCGGGCTTGTCTGCTTCTGTCGAATGCATAGAGGTCAAATTTGTATAATACATTTGCCCGTCGCATAAATCTGCAACAATATACGAAGAAAACTAATTTGAAGAAACTGGCTTTAAGTGTGAAGTGGACGAAAAAAACAGTACATACATGGACAGAGAACAGTTATACAGGGAAAAGAGTCTGTGCTCACCTGGTTTGACGGCCGTGTACTTGACGAGGTTGGCCGGCCGGCAGATGGCGATGTTTCGCGAGGTCACCACCAGGTGGTGGTACAGCTCCGAGTCGAGGTCGCGCGCCGACGGCGTGGCCTCCATGCGGCGCAGCATCTTCCAGGCGTGCGCCAGCCGCGCCTGGTCCTTGTGGCTGCAGTAGGCCGGCCGCGAGGTGTGCAGCGCCGCCAGCAGACTGTCGGCCTGCGTCAGCACGGGCGCGGCCGGCGGTGCCTCCAGCTGGCCCAGCGCGGTGCACAGCTCCAGCGCGGCGGCGCGCTGCGGGTCCGACTCGGGCGCCGCCACCACGCAGCCCTCCAGCGTCTCCAGCGCGCTGCTCACCAGTTTGTCGAGCGGCGTCAGCGGCACGGCCGCGGCCGCCGCGCCGCCCTCTCCCTCGCCGCCCGGCGTCAGACTGGTGCCGGACGCAGACGGAGACGACATGTACTCGTCACTGTCCTCGGGCCAGTCGAAGTTCTCCTTGGTCTTGCCGTAGACCTTGATGGAGTCGACCATGGTGACGCCTGAGGTGTCGGCCGTCGGTCGGAAGGTGAGCGTCAGTCGCCGGTCGGCCTGCAGCGACTCCTCGCGCGTCAGCGGCACGTCGAACCAGCGCGCGCGCGAGCAGTGCAGCGGCACACTGCGGCCCAGCAGCTCCACACAGCTGGGCGCGCGCTGCGGGTCCTGCGAGCCCACCTGGATCTGCAGGCCGCACATCACCATCGACGAGTCGCTGTTGGAAATCTCCATGCTGAAGCCGGCCGGCTTGGTGGAGGCGATGTACATGCCGGCCATGGCGAGTCGCTGCTTGACCTGCTGCGTGTTGTACACCTGGAGCACGTCGTTACCGCCGTACTCCACGTCCGACATGGGCTGGCAGCTCTCGAAAAAGTCCGGCGGAAACTGGACGGCGCCCACCGTGCGGCTCGGCTTGGGCGCCTTCTTCTTGCGCGGCGGCCGCAGCGAGGCCATGACGCTGGTCGGGTTCAGAGAGGAGCTGAGCCAGAAGCCGGTGCGCTCCGGTGAGGCCATGTAGATGCGCAGACTGCCGTCCTCGCACAGCACGATCAGCGTGGTGCGGCGCTCTCCGCCGGCCGCCGGGTGGCGGATCACCACCATATCGGTGATCTTAGACTTGGAGGGCACAATACGGATCTCCTGGACGGAGACCGAGTCGGGTTTCACCATCAGGATGACGGGGTTGTTGCTGCTCTGCGTCACGGAACACACCAGGCCCGGGTGGCCAATCACCTCGCTCCACTGACAGAGCGGCTGGGAGTTGGGCTTCCCGGACCCAGACGGCTTCAGCTGGATCTGCGTCAGGTTGTCCAGCTCTGTGCCGACGGCAGTCAGCGGCGCCAGGAAGCTCTTGCCCTGGGTGTAGCTGAAGAAGAGCAGCTGCAGCACGTGCGAGTAGTAGATGGCCACGCCGCCGCCGCAGATCTGGCCGTTGGACCACTTGATCTCGGGGTGTTTGAGGTCGAGGATGTTGGTGACGTAGAAGGGTCCGTGCTGTGCCGAGCTCTCCTCGTTGATCTCCACAGTGTAGATGAGGCCCGTCGACGACATGATGATGACGTGACGAGAGCCGTCCTGTCGACCGACGGAAAACAGGGCTCAGTGAATACAACGCAGCCACAGGGGGAGAGCGGTGAGATAACGATCAAAACGAAGAACGTGACATAATATGTTACATCCGGGCTTCGGTATATCAAACGCAACGAAACTATGTCAAGCAATAAGCATTGTGTTTGCACCGATGATATGAAACCCCACAGAAACAAGACGTGATTATTTTGAACTGAAGACATTTTATTGCTCTATATCCAACAAAACAGGTGAAAGCGTTATCGTCACCTTCAAGCATCAACCAGTACCGTCGGTGTCCAACGTCATCCATTTACGACACGACTCCCTTCATCTCTATACCGACCACCACGCCTACCTGCATGTTGGCGACGCAGGCGTCGCGGATCTTGCCGCTGGGCAGCAGGAAGAAGTGGTGTGGGCTGAGCACGTCTGCGCCCAGGTCGTACAGCTTGACGAAGTCGGCCGTGATGATGGCCAGCGCCGTCTGCGAGCCGGGCAGCCAGCGGGCGCTGATGATGAAGTTGCCCGTCTCCAGCTGAGGCTGGAGGACCAGGTGGTCGGCCACCGCGCCGCCAGAGCCGAACGTCAGCACGTGACAGTCCTGAGGGCGGAGGTTAGCAGAAGTCAGAATGACATCACCGGAGATAAGCAAGGTCACTCGAAATCCGAGGAGACTCAGTCGGGCCTGGCAAGGCGAGAACAGCCGAAAATAGGAGCTCGTTTATAATACGGTGCAAAGCAGATATTAACAGGCGGGTCAGGGATGCTTTGGCAACGCAAAGCATAACAACGGATAGCCATGAGCCAGAATCCACCCAACCCCTGGCGGTAGCACCAGCCCAGTGAGCCAGTGGTCCTTAAAGAGGTCATCCCACTCACCTTGAGTCCGCAGACGGCCAGCACGTCCTCGTTGCACGGGTTGCTGGCGATGCTGAGCACCGTGAACGGCACAGGCGCCGAGCCCAGCCGAGTCAGCGTCAGCTTCCGCTTGGCGGCGTCACCCTGCTTCAGCAGCGCAGACAGCTGCAGCACGGCCAGCTTGCCCTTCTCGTGCGAGACGGCTGTCGGGCAGACGGAGAGGGCGCTGTGTCAGACGGGCAGACACCCTCAAACATGTAGACAATGCGAGAGCGCGTGCCACATAGGTGCCCCACATTTCCCATCAAACTAATCGTCGATTTACTGAGGTGTTCCCGGGAATCTCCACGTCCACTCACCGAGATGCTGGCGCTTTCCGTGCGGGCTGCTCAGGCAACACATGGAGACGCGCCGGATCATATGCGCCGACACCAGCTGTCGAATGGTCTGGCCCTGCTCTCCAGCAAAGGTCATCCGCACGTTGTCGAACGCCCCTTCCTGGGAGCCCAGGGTCGGAACCTGGCGGCAATAGGGGACGTCGTCACCATAGGCTATACAACAGCTGACAATAAATAAACTGGCATAGAACCAAACTGATACCTCTGGGTTTGCAGTGACACCACAAATAAAGCAGACCATACCAAGAGTGAACCAAACACTTTTTACCCACACTGGTTGTGCGGCCCACGGGTGACTGTCGGCACAGCCTCTCCAGACCATATTCTCTCCTGAAAACATCCCTCCCCGCATGCCTTACTCTGTTCAATCCCTTATTTAATCTTATTCCACCCGGCATCTCGGTCCCAGGCCTCCCCCTCCCTCCCCCGCACTGGCCGTACCATCAGTGTGTCGGTGTTTATGAACGTCTTCTCCGCAGTATGCAGCGTGGCCAGCGCCTCCGCCACGCGCCGGTGTGCGCCGATGGGCGCCGTACGCCGACTGCTGGCCGCCAGCGCCGGCAGCAGCAGCCGCACCAGCTCCAGCACGCTGGACAGTACGTCCGACTGGTGCAGCACCGAGTAGATGGCCTCCTTGAACGGTTCTGCGGGGCGACGGAGGTGGACGGGTCATGTCACGTCGGGTTACGGTAATGTGTGGAATAAAAGGCCACCAATCTCATGTTTGATTACTTTTACTAGCAATATGGCTACTACAGCATTTTTTGGTAATGAATCCACGTGAAAAACATGACATTGACAGTAATTTATGGAACTTCAAAGCATAATTCGACCAAAATGCTACATAGATCTGAGAATCATGAGGTCGGGCCCCAGTGGACCGCGGCACTGACCGAGTCGGCGGCTGAGCGCCTGGCGGCCGCGCGCGCTCTGCTCGCGGCCCTTGTCGGTACGCTCGTGGCTGAGCGCGCTGTGGCGCCGGCGCAGCAGAGACGGCAGCATGGTCTCGGCGCCGAACGGGCAGGAGCCGGCGGCGGTGGTGGCGCCGCTGCCGCTGCTGCCGGCCGGCAGCGGCTCCTGCTGACGACTGCGCTTCACCAGTGCCTGAGGGGGTAGGGACGGTCAACGGGGTCGCAAGTTACTCGTAGAAGTGGGAAGAGGATAGCAGGTACATGTAGTAAACAAATGCGCAGAAATGTCTATTCCCAAGCGCCGCGGGGACCGAGCCGCCACACGCCTCCCACTCCGGCCGACTGGCCCCCGGCTCGCCGGCGCCGTGCTCCCCGGCCAGCGGCCCTGAACTCGAGCCGGTCAGCTCTAGTTGCCGGCGCCGGCCGACAGCCACAGCTGTGGGCCACGGCCTGTGCCAGTTCTATCATACACATGCATAACATATAGCATACAATACTAACTACAGTACACTAGAGCCAATAAACTAAAGACGAAGGAGAGGATGCGAGGACAGGCGAATCAAAACGTGAGCGTGCAAAAATGAAAAAAGCTAACTTAAGAGGCATCTGCTTTTAGTACCTAACTCATTAATTTAGAGCTCCTAACGTGTTGGTAAAACGACTTTAGATATTCACTGTTCATGTCTGCCGGCGTAGACCTGCCACTCTCCACTACCCCGCCTCCCTCGCTCGAGACGCACCTGACAGCTGTTGTCCTCCTTGGCGCCGCAGTCGCAGAAGAAGCTGCCGTTCTTGGCGTAGGTGACGTCGTGTCCCTTGTGGCAGACGCGGACACAGACGGAGCAGACTCCGACCGAGTCCAGCATGCTACACGTGTGGCAGTGGTACCAGTGCTGCGGCACGTACTCCTTCTGCGTCACCGTGAACGTGCACAGCTTGTTGTTCAGCGAGTCCTCGTCCTGCGGGGTACCGGTGGAATGGGAGGGTGATATCAGACATCGGCTACAGACGCCGGGAGAGCCGCACAGGTGGAGTGACCTCAAAACACGGAAAAATCGAGCACGATCCTAACGACAGCTGCAATGAGCTGAAGACCTAGAAAGACCAAGAATTAGAATCGATATTTTGCCGCTACCACGCAAATTAAGCGTTCCTAGTCCCTGCACGGAATGAGAGGTTTTGAAATTCGGAGTTACTGACAAAACATAACCGCTATAACCTCAATATAGGAATAAAGACGGGCTCCCGTCCTAGCTCTACCCTACGCACCGCCTCCTCTGCCGGCCTCCACAACCTTCCCCGCCCGTACCGAGTCGTCTGCGTCGCTGTCGTCGTCGTGCAGCTCGTCGGCCCACTCCGTGTCGGCCTCCAGTGCCGACTGGTCGCCCTCGAGCGGCGGCGTGGCCATGCCCGACTGGCCCGGGTGGCGCCAGTGGTCGCCCAGCATCTGACGGCGGAGGAGAAACAACAATCAGAGGGACCAAACATGCAACAACAGTCAGAGGGACAGAGCATACAAAATACTAAGTCGGAAGGGCAGGAACATGAACCATCACAAGCACCAAGCCAGATCTCACACTCCAACTTATATCGGACTTAAAACAACTGAGATTTTTTGGGCAAAAGAGTGCGTCGAACGCATAAAGGGGAAAAATTACATCTAAGTAGCATCATAGGTTCGGCGCCTGTCGCAGCAGCGCTGATTCAGCCGATGCCTGACGTTCGAGCCCCCACCCACCTACCTTGAGTGCCAGCACGATGTTGCTGAGGTGGCTCATCAGGCAGCAGGCGAAGGCGACCACGTCGGCGTGCCGACCAGAGGTGACGCCCTCACTCAGTTTATCCAGCACGTCCTTCTGACACAGGTACTCCTTGCTGCCGGCACGGACATAGGGCGCGTGCAAATGACACGTGCGTGGAGTGCAAGGTGGAAACGCGGCAGCCGGAAGGGAATACGTGCTAAAGACATTCCGAGTCACACAGCGGGGACAAATGTGAGTATGGTAGCGGTAGATACGTGTGTGGGACATCACACATCCTCACACAAATGACAACACCCCCGCCCCCTCCCGCCACATTCATTCCTCTCCAATCGCGAGGCGAAATTCCCCTACACTCCCACGTACCAGGTTTTGAGCCAGTCGGCGCAGGCGGCGAACAGCGCCACGTGTCCGTGCCCGGAGCCGGCCGAGGCCAGGGTGGCCATGGCCGAGACGAGTCCGCCGTGCGCGGCCGTCAGCGCCGACGGCGTGAACAGCTCGCTGCCCATCCGGGTCAGGGCGTCCAGCACGGCGCGCGCCACGTCCTCACTGACGGCGCTGCAGCGGGAGGAGGCGTGTTATGATGGGATAGTAGTGGGAATACGAAGCAGCGAGCTACGGGCCGACAGAATAAACCAATAGCAGACTCGGTCCATACAATTAGAGAAAAGGTTCACTCATATTGGAGTAAATCTTAATTGTTTTCTAATACCACTCGTTAATAACCATCGTTTCTTCTGACTGAACATCAAACTAAACATGAATTTTATGAGTCATAAGTTTTCTGATAGGTATCGCAAAACTCACTTCACCAAATATGACGTAATGTCAGTCGAATTATCCCACTTAACTAAACGATCCGTTTAAAATACCCATTAGCCTAAGATTGACTCAATCTTACGAGTCTCTCTACCAATTCTGACGGAGTGTGACCAACTGACCTGTCCTCCCTGACCAGGTAGGCGGTCAGGCTCTGCAGCAGCTGCTGACTCTCCAGCCGCTCGTTCCGGCCCGCCGACGACTCGTCACCGCGGTCCGCCAGCGACACCACCAGCTTTCCGAGCCACAGCTGCAACCGCTCGGGCGCCACCGAGGCCAGACCGTCCAGCGAGGCGCACAGCTCACGCAGCTCGCCGCCAGACTTGTCGGCTGTTGCAAAGATACGCGCAGAGGGTGGTCAGTGGACAGAAGAAACAACATTACCAATGATTTATTCAATTGTTTGACGAATACTGATAAAATTCATTATTTAAATTAGTTCAGCAAATGACTCGAACTGCGGAAACAAGGCCAATGTAAGGATCTTGGATTTCCTGACCTCGCCCAGTCGACCCATGATTCCCACACGTACCGGCCTGGAAGAGTTTGTCGCAGAACTTGAGGACGAGAATGCCGTAGTTGAAGCTGAGCCGCTGGCTGGCGGCCGACAGCAGCACCGTCATCAGGAAGGTGTTGTCGTCCCGGTAGGCCTGCGCGAGCGCCGCGCGGCCGGCAGGGACCTCCAGCATCGACTCCAGACAGCGCACACACTCCTCGCACACAGACTCGTTGATGTCGCTGCGGGACAACGGAAACGCAGAGTTTAGGTGGGACGCTACAGAGCACCAATATTGGCTAGCTAAGCCAATTAGACATTGTGGTCAGAATGATAGCATGGACAGCAGACATGGACGATTAATGAAATCAAAGAGAATTAAGACAGAATCCTAGTTTCCGGATGCCATCATGGCAGCCCATCAATCTACTCCGATCCACGGAGCGGACCACCCCAGACCCACATGCCCCACAGCTGCCCGGCCGGTCACTCACGCGTCCTGGCTGACGAGCCGCACGATGGCGTACACATGGTGCACGACCAGCCGACAGGAGGCCTGCTGGAACGACTCCGAGTCGGCAGAGCCCACCAGCGAGTCGACGTCAAAGTGCGCCGCGGCCGACTCGCAGCCCAGGTCCAGCACCAGCGGCAGCAGCACGCGAGACAGCTCGGCGCGCGTCCGCTCGTCAGAGGAGCGCCACCTGCCGACGGACGGAGCTGCGGTCAACGAGTGTCGCAGACGGGGACGGGACGGGAGGAGAAGGGAGGAGGGCGCCGAGTGGGAACAATGTCAGAAGGGTCCTATCAGAACAGCGTGCGCTAAGAAATTCTATAAAATTCAGCCAAGGGGCTTTGACCCGATCCCACCAGTGGGTAGCAGCGGCTCCTAATCCGAGAGCAGGGGGTCCACCAGCGCCGGACGTGATTATACTCACGTGAATAGCGCCTCTGCCACGCGCACTAGACAGTGCAGCAGATGTTTGAGGGAGAGCCCGATACTGGGAGCAGCGACACTCGATAGGCCGGCCACGTGGGCGGCCACCACCGAGCCGATGTAGCCCTCCGACGGCAGAGGCTGCTCGCCATACCGAGACTTCTGCGGACGAAAGAGAGGGGTAGGTTACTCCACACCGGCTGCAGCTGATTACGAAGCGAGCGAAGCGAGCGGAGTCTTTCCCATATAACGGAAAAATATCAGTATGAGCGGCCCCCGCAAGCTTAGAGGCACCGGCCGGGTCAGGCCGGCATTCTACGTACCCAGTTCTGGGAGAAGACGATGTCGGCGGCGGCGGCGGCGTGCCAGTCGTCCAGCGTGCGGCGCAGCGCGGCCGGCAGACACGCGGCGCACCCGTCGGCGAACGGGAACTGGTGCGCGGCGCGCGGCGACACCACGCTCAGCAGGTGGCTGTAGGCGCGCCGCGTGGCCGTCGACGGCGGCTCGGCGCCCTCCTCCGTCAGACAGTCGAGCAGGCTCTCACTGCCGCGGACAGACCACAAGTCAGACACACAGAGAGTAGAGACACAGATAGAGACGGCGGCTCGGCGCCCTCCTCCGTCAGACAGTCGAGCAGACTCTCACTGTCGCGGACAGATCAGACAGTCAGACACAGACAGACGCAGACGGCGGCACGGCGCCCTCCTCCGTCAGACAGTCGAGTAGGCTCTCACTGCCGCGAACAGATGACAAGTCAGACATACTCTTACAGGGACACAGACAGACGCAGACGGTGGCTCGGAGCCCTCCTCAGTCAGACAGACGAGCAGGCTCTCACTGCCGCGGACAAACCAGGTACCGCATATAGTCAGTCAGACAGATACGGATAAAACGGCGGCTCTTGGCCCTCCGTTACCAGGACTCCGCTTAAGCTCAGACACGGAGGCGCCATACACAGATAATTGGCGCGAGCGGGTCGAGTTTGGTCTGGTCAGCTCGTCGACGATATGAAAAGGTCAGGTTGAGTCGGGTATTTCAAGGTCTTATCTGACCCAGCCCTGTCCCATCCGACAGTCCGCTTTCGCGGCGCGTCGGCTCACCTGATGCAGCCGGAGACGGACTCGATGAGCGCAATCACGGCCGGCAGCAGGTGCCCGGCCACGTCCTCGGCCTGCGAGGCGGCCGCCGTGGCCGGCTCGATCACCCGGCCGCTGGAGTCGCTCGACGACGGCCGGCTCAGCTGGCCGTCCAGGCTCACCTGGGGAGCACACACGCCACCGTCAGACACATAGACAAGCGGAAAGGCATGACCATTCTGACAGGTACCGACCACGGTGATGGCGGCTTAAGGCTACCCGCCATGGCAGTAAGACCGAACTTGACAGTTCAGCCCACACCCCACCCAGGCTGACCCAATCCTAGGGAGCAAGCCTCCGCAGCTCCCCATCCCTCGCCAAGAGGAGCGAATTCCGCAGTACTACCCTCCCGATACAAGCCTTAATTCCCCAACCTCGCGATACAAGCCGCAAGGTCACATGTTCAGCTCAACCCCACCACGATCAGCCAGCGATCACGCCCTGACCTGCGTCTTGGCGATGGCGGCGTGCAGTGTGAGCACGTCGATAAGCCGGGGCCGCTGCGGCGGGTCGAGCCGGCCGGCGGTGCGGCGCACCAGCTCCACGTCCCGCGTCACGTCGCCCACCCGGCGGCCGACGTTCTCCAGGAGCGCGTCGGCCCGGTGCGCCGTCAGACCCTGCTTCACCAGGCCGTCCTGCGGCCAGGGAAACCAGCAGGTCAGACAGGCTAGTAGGAGAAGCTCAGACACACACATAAATCGGACAGTCCCCAGTCATGCGCACTTCGCAGAGGTCAGGAGACGACTGGTATAAGAGATCTACTGATCAAAGCTCACACTTTTCACCCAAGCTGATGATCAATGCACAAAGCAGCTGTTCCGAACTGAAGATTTACAGTCATAACGGCCTAAGATACATAGGACATTTTGCTTTTACCATTTTGAGCAGTCATGCGTAGTGCGTCGTCAAACTTATGTCCCCACCACGTCTCACCTTGATGGTACTGGCGTAGAGTTTGTGCGCGGCGCGCGGTCCCCAGACCAGCGACAGCAGCTGCTGTTCGGCGCCGGCCGACTCTGCGCCGGCACACACCTGCTCGAGGAACGCCTCCGACGGCGGCAGGGAGGTGCACAGCCTGGGGAGCGGGCACACGGGGTCAAGTCAGGGCAGCGGAGTCAGACAGGGAGTGATTATATACAAGGTCAGCGGGGGTTAAATAAAATATTGCGCTGAGAGTTAAATTGATTAAGCACGCTAGGTATCACGAGAGGCATCATAAAATCAACTCGATAAGTGTCGTATGATGAATGCCCGGAAGAAGCTGCATTGAGCAGAGTTATCCCGTACAGCTATGGAAAACGAACCCCTCAGTCCTCACGTCCTCGTCTGCAGACTTCAGCTTCGGTCTCCGCTGATACGTACCGCCAAGCGACGCTGAAGCAGTAGTGTGTGTTGGCGCGTCCGGCCGCCGACAGCGGAGTCTCGCGGCCGGCCAGGTCTGCCTGGCCGCCGGCCCGCAGCAGGGACACCAGCGCCGCGTGGAACGCGCCGTAGTCGAGCAGCTCGGGCGAGCTCAGCAGGAAACTGCTGGCCTGAGGACGGTGCGGGGAACGCCGAGTCAAGTCACTATCGAGACACCTAAGCTCGGTCTTCTATCACCTGGACATAAGCCGTACCACCAGCTTCGCTATCAACCAGGCACAGACTGTGTCAAATGGCCTTCATTCCATGATAATGGTCGCGTAATTCGTAGCCAGTCATAAAAAACTTCGAAAGGAGATCTATGGGCAACTGAATATCGCCTAGCGCTTGTCGCTATATAATCTAAAAACCAAATACAAAGTTAGTAGCTCAACCCTGAGTACAGGCAGAGTGCATGACATCCCATTCCTGATCAAACCACGGATAAACACCCCAGCCGTATTGTCCTCACCAGTCCGTCGAGCCGCGGCGGGTCCGACCCGCCGTTGTCACTGTGGGTCAGGCTGTAGAAGCAGGGCGGCTCCCCGGCGCCCGGTCCGCCGCCGCCGCCGGCGGCTCCGCTGTCCATCTCCTTACAGGGGATGTAGAGTTTCTCAGCGCCCGGCACCCGGCCCAGCAGGTTACTGCGAACCTGCAGATGCGGAGCGGGGAAAAACGGTACCGCGTCAGATGGTGGAGGGAAAACGCAGCTGATCACCCATGCCAATTGACGTGTCAATTGACGCCAGTAGCAACAGAAAGCTAGCAAATGAAATGTATCCTTGCTTACAGTAATCACAGCTCACCGCATTCAAAGCACGCCACGTCCTCACCGCGCTCACAGCTATCACCTCTCACCGCTCACAGCTCTCACCTGGTCGATGAGGAAGCTGGGAGCGTCGTACAGGTTGCGCACCATGTACTCGAACAGCACGAGTAGCCGGGCCAGGTGGAGCACCCGGGCAGGGGACATGGCCGATTCCAGTGCCGGGGCCACCTGGCAATTGAACGGAAAACACTGAGGGTTGGAGCACAAATGCGATGGACATATAGCCAATTCGAGCGCAAGACGTTTAACGGCAGTATTTAAGCAACAGCTCACAGTCGGCAGGGAAAAGGCCAGCGCGGTAAAAAGCGCCGCTTCATACCTCGTATCTACTTATCTCTCGCACACACCATTCCCTGGTTGGATACCATTCCGGTATTGGCGGCACAGTTCTGCCGCCAATACCGGAAAACCGTAGCGAAGTCAAAACCGTAGCTAGCGTCATGACCAGAACTGGCACTGGCCTAGATCAGTCCCGCGTCCCACCCGTACCTTGATGATGACGTCGGCACACTGCAGCAGGACCGTCTTCTTCTGCATCAGCTCCAGCGAGTGGAACAGGAACAGCAGCAGCTGGGCGTGCTCCACGTTCAGGTCTGTGGTGGGAGGGGAAAGGGAGAAGACAGATCGTCAGTACAGTACAGGACCACGCCAAACTAACCATCAAGGCAGTAACAGCTGGAAAATGGAGTACGGCAATCATTCAAACATTCAGTCGATAGAATCTGCAGTAGGTGAAAAACTATCTCCAACAATTTCCATTAAAAAATAGTTCTATCCGGCGTATTCAAAGCAGAGGTCCGCGCTGAGCTGAACTAAATGCACAAGATTGGCCTAAAACGTTTGATCGAAGTACTCCGGACGGCTGTTTGCGTGCACTGACCGTCGGCGGACTCGTCTGCCGTGCTGAGGATGCGCCGACTGAGGGTGTTGAGACAGCTCGACCAGATCAGGGCGGTGGCCTGGCGACCGTTCAGACGGTCCGGCCCCGTAGACTCCTGGTTCAGCAGCAGCACCTGCCACAAACACGCACAAATAAGTTAAAAGGAAGACGCACTTGTTGGTAATGGTACGCATGATTCGTGATCACACTCAATACAACAGTCGCCATCAGTTTCAATACCTTCCAACTCTAAGGTTGGTATCAAGTAGCGCCACTTTGAAACATCATATACCCAGTAAGAGCTACGGCATGAGTGACCAGTTCCAAACCTTAGGGAGCAGCGGACTGAGCAGCCACCGACCTTCCCCGCCCTCACACAAATACTGAGGACGGCGGCTGACTATCCCCAGTCTTCCATAGCAGACGGTCACTGACCTGCGCCAGGACGGCCAGAGACCGGCGGAAGGTAACTGACCTGCGCCAGGACGGCCAGCGACCGGGGGAGGGGAGGGGGTAACTGACCTGCGCCAGGACGGCCAGCGACCGGCGGAGGGTAACTGACCTGCGCCAGGACCGCCAGTGACCGGGGGCTGACGGTGAGCGGCCAGTCGGCGCCCTCCTGGTGCCACGGACTCAGTCCCAGCTGGGCGAGCAGCAGCTCCTGCAGCGGCGCCGACAGCAGCCGCGTGGCCAGCAGGTTGTGCGTCAGCCGCGTCAGTGAGGCACTGAACTCCTGGCACAGAGTCAGCATGCTGCCGGCGCTGGCGTGCGCGCTCAGACTCCCTGTCGGCGGAACAGGGCGCAGGGCGTCACACGGGGGACTCTGGGCAGGACAGAGTTACTGAATGAGCGATAAACGGACAAACTAACTCGGTGGCTGGATAGACTTCGTGCTGAGGATACATAGATACTGGACACTGGGCAGACACGAAACAGACTTAAAGGACACCAGATGAACGAACAGCACAACGAACCAGCACACCGACAGTAGAACGATATACATATTTCATCACTAACGGCGATCGGTCCGTCTCGGCTTGCTGCCCACCTGATCCGACGTCTCTGATGAGGGCCGCCAGCAGCGTCACCTGCTGTTCGGCGATGCCCTGGCGCACGTATTGACGGATGTCGGCACACTCGGCGTCCAACAGGTCACTGTTGATGAGCCGCAGCACCATCGACGCCAGAGACATGAACTGTAACACGGCGGGCAGACCGGTCACGGCACGCGCCGACAGCGGAGAGGGGCAGTAAGACATGCTGAGAAATTACCGCGCCATAAACAGCAGTCAGCACAGTCGGATGAAGCATTAGGTCGTGCGATGATATTTGGAAATACGCAATTCATATTCTCGGGTTTGACTTCCATTCGAAAATCACACTGTAATTAGCACATCCATCTCTCATCCGTCCTCCTCCCCAACCAGACCCCAACCCCCCTCCCCATCCCCCCCCCCCCCAGTGACGTACGACGTGCAGTCTCGCAGCTGCCATCCCCTCCCCTGTGGTGCCCAGTGTACGCCGCAGTCACATCCGGTGGTTTCCCCCGGTCACGTACGCCGTGCGGCTCGCCGCGCTCGGGCACCAGGCTGGTCTCGCCGCCGCCCGAAGGACGGTCGGCCGTGCCGTTCTCCGAGGCTGCCGCCGACGCCGGCGGTGTCACCGGTCCCGGCGGGTACAGCGTCTGCATGAACCACTGGCCCAGGATCGAGTCGTCCTCGTCATCTGGGGACGGAGGCACCGGCGGACGGTTAGAATCATGGGAGGCTGAACAGTTAGCAAGCACAGAGGATGGAGTGTAAAACAGTATAAAACAACAGTAGAAATCGCGTACGAAATTAGCGATGAATACCTAATATTTAACTACGCAATCTTTATCGGACTTTTGCTGAATTGCTACGCTTTCCGCGGTTCACCACAATCTTCGATAGGGACAAAACACTGAGCGGCAGCGCACGAGCCACTGACACACCGTCCACTCACCGGAGCTGGCCTCGTCTCCACTCGAGTCGTCCACGTAGAACGAGGCGGTGAACGCCGGGCCGGTGGTCAGGCCGAACACATCTCCGGTGTCGGCGCCGGCGGCGGCGGCCGCGTCCGAGCCCCAGAGGCCGCAGGCGCGCCGGTACGCCGCCACGGCCACGTTGATGAGCAGCTGGGGCAGGTTGGCGGCCTGCAGCAGGGCGGCCGCCCGCTGTCCGGCCGTGCACGGCGTGGAGAGCGCCGCCGGGCCGCCGGCCGGCAGCGGCTCGCCGCCCAGCACCGACGACTCGGAGCGCACGTCCGCCAACAGACTGGAGAGCAGCGTCAGCGCCTTCGAGGTGAGCGCCACGGCCAGCACGCCGAACCCCTGCTGACTGCGGCGGGCGGGGGAACGGGGGTCAACATACTGCTCGGGGAGTGGCAGGACAGGGACAAAGGACGGACAGACAGTGCAGGACACTGACAGTGCACTGCAGCTGAGTGGACGGGGAGTAGCAGACGGATGGTCAGTCAAGTATAGCCCTAGTTACGCCACAAACAAACAGAATACGGGGAGCTAACCGAGAGGAATACACGTTACTCACACTTTGAGTAGGTTGATTCTGTTCTCCTTCCCTTTGACGGGCGACTTGCCGCGCTCGGGTTTGTCTCCCATGGCGCTGACAGAGCACATGAAGGCCTGGATTCCGCGCAGTAGCAGCAGTGCGGCCATCAGCTGCAGGTTCTGCACACACTGTCGGCACGGCAACGGGAGGCGTCAGGGAGCCCCGGGACGGGGCGCTCAGCCAGAGGAGAACACACGGCAGCAGTGAAAAAAACCAACACGGACAGAGTGTAGCGATTTTAATATCGCAATTTGCAAATACCTGCAAAGTACATAAAGTGAAGCGTAAAATAAAAATATTCCACGTGGTTGCTATATCAATAAACAAACAACAAGCAAAATTGTCCCAAAATTGTGTTTGGGCTTGGGTGTCAAAGGGGAAATTCCTCTCCAAAAATTGGGATAAGAGTGGAAAATTGCCAGTCAGATAAGGCCCAAAAAGAGTGAAAAGGGATCAATGGCATAAATTTATGTACAAGTGCAGTAAGATGCAAGATGCAACCATGCAAATGTTTTTTGTCGGTAAAATTGGGAGTGGAAATTGTTCTTAAAAATAAGAGATGAGAGTGAAAAATGATTTTCATTTGGATGTAGTTTCCCACCCAAATCAACACATTTTGGGACACTGTAAACAAATGACAAAAAGCAAATCTCTCCCTAATTCAGAGTGCGGATTCATCGCTGCGTTGCATGAAAACTACTTCCCCACATACCCCCGCCCGCCGTATAAGAGGCCGACCCCGGGATGTCGGCTACTCACGTGTCCGCCGGACCGTGTGGAGGCTCTCAGCACCGACTGCACGCACTCGGTCACCTCCAGCGCGCGCACCAGCACGTCGACCGCGTGCGTTTCGGCCTCGTCGGGCGCGGCCACGGCGGCGCCGCTGGCGGCCACGGTGAGCGCGGCCAGCAGGCAGGCGGCGCACAGGCGCGCCAGCCGCTGCTGCCGGCCGGCCGTCAGCGGCTCCAGCAGCGGCAGCGACAGCGCGCGCCACACCATACCCACGTCGGCACTGAGCGCCTGCAGACTGCGGAGCGGACGGGGAACAGCGGCGGTCAGTACTCGCAGCAGACAGGGAGGGCTGGCTACCGTCTCACCGTGAGGGTGGCTTTCGTCTGGCGGGGATCGGCCGTAGCGGCAGTGATAAAAAACAAAGCTGCGTCTTCTGCTATAACCACTCCTTTGAAGGCAAAGCATAGAGCACAAAAAACCGAGATCAAAGATAGGTCACCACGAACACGGATTCCACAGGCTCACAGACACGCTTTGCCAATTCACCACACTGCCCTTCTCTGGCACGCGGCTTTTGTCCGAGCCGCTGGCACGTTCCCCGCCAGGCAATGCCCCTTCCCTAGTGGCGAAGCCGCTGTCCCACCTGGATCGGACGGTGACGGCCTCCGACAGTGTGGTCGGCAGCTGGAGACAGCCCGTCTCCAGCGAGTCCGTGTAGCGGCTCAGGTAGCGGCCGATGTGCGGCAGGCTGCAGCACATGTCCACCAGCACGTCTCCGGCGCCCAGCAGCTGCAGCGCGCTGATGTTGCGCTCACAGAACAGACTCTGGGGGTGGTGGAGGGACGGTCAGTGGGGGGGGGGGGGGGGGCAGTTGACAGAGGGACTGCCAGAGGTGGGACGCCTAGGGGAAGACAGCAGACAGGCAGTTAATTACGAAATAGTCATAGCTGGATGAGTACGAGGCACGGTCAGCGAACTAACCGTGAACGAAAGGATGCCGTCAGTGGGCACTCGGGCCCGTGCCAAACGTAGCCACAACAGGACTTCAGTAATCCAGAATTGGAGGATCAAAAGCATGCGATAGCATGCTTTTGCATCCGGAAATTCCCATTGGTGGGTCGCTAAAAAAAAAGTTCGGCTGAACCTGTTTGTCAGTGAGTGAGTATGTGAGTGAGTTTGTCCAAGCTTTTTTGGACCTGGAGTCAAAATGGGTGGACCGATCGGGACGAAAGCGAAAGTTTGATTCGTCTCCGGTGAGGTAAACTTTTGGTGCTGGCCTCGGTTCGCTCGGTGCTTCGTGGCACATGCTATTCCGCTTCAAAGTTTCGGTGACACGAAATTTTTTGTCAAGGCTACAGGTCAACCCGAGGTCACGGGCAAAGCCATACTGGCGGGACACATCGGTAACACCTTGAACCAGTTTCCAGGGGGGTCACCGTCTGCGAGGGGTGCAGGCTGCACGTGCTGGGGTCGGAAAACCGTTTTGACGTGAGGTCCTCTGGCTCAAAGAAATTTTAAGCTATCAACCTCAAAATCGGTTCAATGGTAGTCCCAGGCAAGGCCTCCAAAATAATGCACATTTCATTGGGCTATGGATGCTCCAATTCTGGCCCAAGGCAACGCACGAGCGCTGCCGGCATCTAGTGGGGAGAACGGGGGGGGGGGGGGAGTGAAAAAGTGGACCTAGGGTGTAGGTTGCTATCTTATTTCCCGGGGATGAGTTGACGGTAATCATGCGACGATGGTGCGCGCTGTCTGATGGTAGAATGAAGAATATGCATGATTTGAAACCTCGTCCAAGTAATATCACTGATTTCAGCATTGATATGGGAGATAAGACCACTGCATAAGATAAGCCACGATGTCTCATTAGGTAATCAATCTTTGCCCCTTACGATAAGAAGCCGGTACACCGTGACCTATCAAGTAACCTTCAAATCATTCGGATCACAGGGGAGGCTATTGGTCGTTTTTTTTTTCTTTGTCTCGCCGATAACGTCAGTCACAGTAAGGTGGTATGTACATATGTATTTATGTATTTAATCATTTACCTACGATTACGAGCATGAGGTGGGGTGATGGCTAACCTTGACTTGCTGGCTGGCTGAAGTTACAATGTAACTGACCTTTACCTTCTAACCAGAGTCCCGGACTCCCGACTGGTCGACTCCTCAACTGACCTCGCCCTGCTGCCCTGAGCCCCGACTGACCTTGACCTTCTGGCCGGAGGTGGCGCCGTCGGTGGCTTCGTTTGACTCGCCGCCGCTGGCCAGGTTGTACATGGGCGCCGACAGGTGGTCCAGCAGCGCCGCCGACGGGTCCACGCGCGTCCGCTTCGGCTCCGTCTTGGCAGCGTTCTCCTTCTCCGCTGTACGCAGAGTCAGTGGCCAGGTTAGCACCCAGCTCTGGCAAGTGAATGAGATGGCAGTACAGCTCGCAACTCCGTGGTTCGATGGGTTTACCTACCTCAGTTACAACTACACCGGCTGCCTCCCTGGGACGCTGGGTACGTTTGTGCGAGTTATATGGACAAAGAACGGCTGTACGGTAAGATACATGACCATCCAGTCCTGTAGGATCAGTGGTCTACCTGGCATGTTGGTAAGGACGTGGAGGGTGATATGAATATAGGGTCGGCGGCCTACCTGGCACGCTGGTGCGGATGTGCGGCGGCAGCTTGGCCATCTTCATGGCGGCCACCAGCGTGACGTGGTCCGAGTGCTCGAGACCGCCGCCCTGGCAGAGCAGCCGCAGGCCGTCCATCAGCTGGCCGCGCGACAGCGGAGACGTCTGACGGCTACCGCCCGACAGGCTGCGCAGCATGTGCGCGCCCAGGATACGCGCCGCCGCGCAGGCGCCTCCCATCTGACTGGGTAGCACTGCCGGACAGAGACGTGGGGTCACCGGTCGGGCGACAGGGCAGCAATGGTGGGACGCCCACCGGGGACAGCCGACGAGCAGCAGCATCAACAGGACGGCCGGGCATAGGTACTGAACACGAGATCACGGGACGCAAACTGACCGCAGGCTGCGCATGATTGTGATAACACGATCGGAAGGCGGACAAAGCAATTTTCTCAACGGCTGTTTTACGGCAAAAAGAACGAATTGCGACATGAACCGCTTCAATTTTAACCCGTCATAGAGCGAGCTAAAATAGAATAAAATTGATCATCAGTTAGGAATGTTATGTGTTAATCGATACTGACAATGCCTCACGTCAGGGTTCACCGTGGACAGATAGGATCCCGAAGCTTGCGGTCGATCGGGCAGCTACCGGCGCCTGATCCTTACGGTCAGCCTCGTTGAGTCCGGAAATGTTACAATCGATTCCGATATTCTCGGTGTCATATACCTACTGTCAGATTGACACTCCCAGCGCCAGATACTTCCAGTCAGTCCGGGAATTCCGCCGCAAAACACTTCCCGTCGATTCCGTCAATCACGGCTCTTTATACAATATTACGGCCGATTGGGCCACTCCCGGCGTCAAATCCTTCCTTAGTTCGGTCGCACCGTTCCCGGCGTCGGACATACGATCGGCCCGACACTCCCAGCGCCAACTGCTTACGGTCAGCGGCATTCTGAGCGATGTAGTCGGCCGCCAGCAGCGCAAACGTCGAGTAGAACGTGTCGTACTCGGCGCCGTGGTTAATGATGTCATCCTCACTGAAAAACAGCAGAAAGCACAGGCTCAAAATCCCAAAAGATATGTGGGTTCTCGTCTCACCCAAGGTCATCTACACCAAATTAGAGGCAAGCATCATAAATTACATCTATAGACTCTTCACTCCACCACAGCCTCTTTTTGCTTCTCTTGAGTCTGGCCTATTTGGAATGGATGCCTCAGGAAAGGTGAGTCTTTAAAATGTTTTGATGTGTGACTAGCTAGGATCTGTGAATATAGCATTGGTTGGCCATATTCTATGTTTCCTGCAAAACATCACCATAACAGAGCTACTGAAGTTCATGATCTTAGCTTCAGAGATGGCACAATCATGCAGCACTTCAGTCTACTCTATCCCTGGCTATGATTCAGATTCCATGCACCTAGTGGCACAAAAGAATGTTGAAAAAGAAAATGGATAGCATTTAAATTACACTGCAGCTGAAGTTAAGAAAACTTTCAGCTCTAATCTAACACAGTTTGCATGCATAATATTGATAATATTGATTTGCTTTCAAGTCTGCAATATTCTTATTCAAGTGGCAAGTAAGACTGATACTTTAACTCTGACAAGGTAGCTGACCTTGCAATCAATCAAGGTGAAAATAATTATTTACTAGCAACCAGCTTATCATTACAGCAGGGAATTTAAATTATCACCTGACAGCAATGAAAAATATTGTATTGATAGTCTATTATGTGCAAGTGAGTAGATAAAAATTGATATATACTGATGACTGTTTTCTCTTTCATTGGCATTGCTACCACTAATATTCTTTACTTCTTAAACTTGCACAGTGAATATATTGTATACCTAACAATGTTAAAACAAAGCTTAACCAGCTACAGAATTACATTATTTCAACTAGCTCTAGAGAATCACTGAAACATATCTTGTCTATTTTACTTTTGCGGCATATATGTAATATGAAGATGAAGTCTGACTTCTGAGTGGTGTGTAGGTTGGTAAGATGTAGGATAGTAGGTTGTAGGCTGGTAGGTAGGTCAGTGGGGGAAACTGTGGTCAAATCTTCTATTTTTGGAAGCCTTCCATTTTTGGAAGGACCTTCCATAAATGGGTATGCATTTTCCAAAAATGGAAGGCTTCCAAAATTGGAAGGTCTAATCTCAGTGTTCCCAACTGTGATTCACATTCTTTGATTTAAGTTACGGCCTTTTTAAATGTGTAACATTAATAGTTGATTTTGCCATTTATGATCATTGATATAAGGAGAAGCAGCAGTGCTAGTGTTGGTAATACAGGCATGCTATGTCAATGTACATAGTGATATAATAGCATGGTGTCCTGGCGCACTGCTCTCTTTTTCTACTTCTAGAGGACACATAGAAATTCAGAAGAGAAAACAGCTGGTCAATAACCAACCAGGAGGAACACAGCTATAGCCCTGACAAAAAATGGTTTAAATTAAACTTACTATTCCTCATATAAATTGAAGATTCATGCTCCTTCGATAGAAAGTAACACGAAAAACGGCGCAGCAACGCCTATTTAATTCGTCCCATATTCCGGAAAAAACATTGAAAAATGACGAGACCTCCACCCAAATGTTTGGCAAAAGCCTTAAAAAATTGAAATCAACCACACAATATGCTAATAAATGCAGAAAACGGCAACAAATACAAGTTTTACTCGCCACTACACTCCCGAAACCGCCGCACTCTGTCCAGACAATTCCGCACTGTAAATAAAGTCGGCGGTATCGAACAAGCATGGCCCGTCACTAAAGTACTTTTAAGGATATTTACTTTTCGTTTTTGATGCTTTTTGCTTACAAAATGTTTGATAAAGTCTTATAAAACCATCGTTTGTCGGTAAATTTTTGTCAATTTTCCACGACTCATTACTTTGAAAAATTACCTAAAATACATCCACGCTAGGATTTAGGCATCCACGCTAGATTATGGACACTTCACTATGGCGAATAGAAAGCGACCAGGGGCGATAGTCGCATTTGCCTCATGTTCGGCGGAAATCGGTAAGTTCCAACATATGCGCAACATTTTCTATATTTGGGTACGATGACGTCGTCAGCGTACCCATTTTTGGAAGGTGCGTACCCATATATAGAAAATCCTTCCAAAAATGGAAGGCTTTCTAAAAATGGAAGATTTGACCACAGTTTCCCCGACTGAGGTTGCAGGGTTTAGGTTTGAGACTTTCATAATATTTCTGTGCCAAGCCTTAAAAATTGGTAAGTAAATCAACAAACTCACCTTTTAATGACTGATCTTATGAATTCAGGTAGGTCATTTTTATTAAAAGATCCATAGGATGCAGCTAAAATCGGTTTTACGATAGAATTCCATTCGACTCCGCCACTTGCTGATGCCATTATTGCCGCAATCTTGATCCTGGCAAGGTCAGAGGGTGGCTTTCAGCGACCATTAACAAGTTAAGTATCAGCAGCCCGCTTAAAAATGGAAAGTATATCAAGCCTGTAACACTGTATTCTCTTATCGTTATATCTTCCAGAATCCAGAAGTAACGCAAGCTGAACGCAAGTCTCCAGTAATTATTATTTTTCGCCTCCGCTATGCAATTGGTTCACTAGTCCAAACTATCAAAGAAAGCATCAATAAAGAGGTGATCAACAAGTTAAAGATTGACAATATATTACGCCATGTAAATTATGTATGTTGATATAGCTCATTAAACGAAATGTTGTTCCTAATCAACGTAACAAAAACACAAAAAAATACAAATATTACTTGAAGATTTTTATTGTGTCGGATAAAATCGCTAAAACTACCAATAAATGTATCTGACGTCATCAAAAAAATAAACTTCTCGATTAAAAAATGACAAAGGAAATTTGCCAATATGATACATTAGCTGCTCAGCAGAGACAAACTTTTTCCTGAAGATTCTGTTCATTCTATTCAGCATTTTCTGCTTAAGTAAGAAATCACCAGTACTTACGAACAAATGTTTGAAGCTGTTACAGCAAAAGAAAATGTTCTAGAACACAAAAATATTGGTGGGTGTGGTATTTGGTCCATAAAGAAATTGTGTTGTTGTTTTTCACATTCATCATCAGACACCCGTGGCGCATGGCCAAACCCCGAGCAACTTCACGCGTCCGTCGAAACGCCTTCTCAACGAGAGTCATCAACGACTGGAATGGACTACCGCTGGCAGTCGTGAGCGCCGACTCTCTCAACCAGTTCAAGAATCGTCTCGACAAGCACTGGGCCCATCTCCTATACACACCACCTACGCCCTATGAGCCCTAACATGATCCGCCTAGAAGCTCGACTGGACCGGTAGTTTACAGGCCTTTGGCCTCTCTAAATTCCGTTCAACTTAAGTAAGTAAGTAAGTAAGTAAGATCATGACTTTATAATCAAGAAATTGGACGCTTAAAATAAGAACTCTTATTTTTCTTTAAGGTTAACATGAAGTCTGTTGACTCATCCAAGAAACCACCACCACCCCCATTGCATTACTTCAAGAGTGATGGAGCTTTGGTAACAGCTCTGAATTTTTTAGTTTTTCATGATGAAGCATATCTTGCTCAAGGCAGTCAGGATGGAAACCTGACAGTATGGGACTTGAAGGTAATTGCACATTACACTATTCACTATTCAGGTATTTTATGTCTTGTCTGTCACTGACCACTTCCTATGTAAATCGGTACATTGGCGATTGAGGTAAACAGTGTCAATGGTAGTTCGATTTGTTAGGTCTTCTGTTAACATCATCTTTAGTACCCAGTAAAAGAGTGAACCTTAATCAATTGGTTTCACCCTAACAAAGACCCCCGCCCCCCGGTGACTGGCCTTGTGGCCCGTCGTCTGCCCACAGAGCTGCGAGCGGCGCTGGTCGGTGGCGGCGCACAGCTCGGCCTGCCGCGCCGTGGAGCAGCTAGAGAGCGGTCACGTGGTCACCCAGGGCAGAAATGACGCCATCCGCCTGTGGGATGTGGATTCCCAGCAACCTGTGGCTTCACTGCCCTTCATCCATCATGGCTTCTGTCGGGTATGTCGACCAATCGGGACGATACGCCTCGGCCCTGTGGCTTTATTGGAGTTCCTTCGGGAACTCCAATCGGTATTGTGATGCTATTTCGTGACCGGTTTCTAATTTCATTTCCATGCGTTCACATTCGGAACAATATGTCGTCCTTTTGTAGGAGTTCCCTACAGCCGCGCACACCTGCTGCGCATGTGTCGGTGAGCCATTGCTTATGTATACTCGTATATCCGCGCACACACGCTGCGCATGTCTCACGTTACTAGATAGACCGTCTAGCGCATGCGCGTAGTTTTAGTATACCGTCTGACGTCCGTGTGTGCTGTACATTAGTAAAATCTGAAATTTGTAAATACACTTCTCTACTCATCAAACCAAGGCTTTGGAGGAAGACGGAAGACGAGGAAGCGAGGGCGACATGAAGAGCCCTGGTGGCTGACGAGTGCTCGGAAAGGAACACGCTCCGCGATCACACGATCGGATGACTGTAAACTGGGACCGCCGTCTCACCCACAGTTTACACTGGTGACCCCGACGTGATCCGGGCTACTCGTGGACCACACCATGGAGTCGAGCGAAGCCACCCGGCAGCACACCGCTCCTCCCGCAACCAGCTTCAGCTTGCCGGCACCCGAACCCGAGGCAGCAGGTCGGCTCACAGCCCTGCTAGCCACCATCGCGACCCTCATCGTCCGAGTACAGCAAATGGAGGCCACCCAGCGTCGACTCAAAGGCGCAGCATCGCAACTTGGCCGAAGCCAGCATCAACGACGCCATGAAAACCGCCCTCTAAAGCCAGCGCATCCGTCAACCTACGAGATCTGCTGGTACCACCAGCGCTTCGGTGCCAGAGCGCGTCGCTGCAAAGCGCCGTGCAGTTTCTCCCACCGCAACAAAGGTCGACATCGCAGCCGTCAGACGCCTCGCCCGCCACGCCCTCCGACGCCGACGTACCCAGACAGTTCTGTCTGCTGGTACCACCAGCGTTTCGGCAACAAGGCCCGCCGCTGCGAGCCTCCGTGCAGCCGGTCGAAAGCATCTGCCGCAACACTTCTCTTCGTGCGGAACACGAAGACTGCCAAACAGCAACGGATCGACGCTGACGCCTCACTCAGCGCATCTCCTCGCGGCAACCTACCGAAGCGACCGACGCCGACGCCAGCTCCACCCAACAAGCAGCCGGTGGCCGCCAGCGCACCAACCAGCAACATCGACCACTGCGAGCCTGCGTCTCCGGAAGAGACGCCACACCTACCTGCGCAGCAGTCTCCTGCCTCTGCGACTCTGCCACCATCAGCTGCCCGGTCGGACGGCCTGGAGCTGATGCTGCCACAAGACACGCCACCTGCAGAACAACCATCTCCAAGAGCAGCAGCACCGGGACCAGCTCCACCGCGATCTATCTTGCGCTCTCGCACCGATCGCGACGTTCGATCCCCACAGCGATCTCGACGCGTCACGTTCGCGACCCGTCTAGGGAGGGGGTAGTGTAGGAGTTCCCTACAGCCGCGCACACCTGCTGCGCATGTGTCGGTGAGCCATTGCTTATGTATACTCGTATATCCGCGCACACACGCTGCGCATGTCTCACGTTACTAGATAGACCGTCTAGCGCATGCGCGTAGTTTTAGTATACCGTCTGACGTCCGTGTGTGCTGTACATTAGTAAAATCTGAAATTTGTAAATACACTTCTCTACTCATCAAACCAAGGCTTTGGAGGAAGACGGAAGACGAGGAAGCGAGGGCGACATGAAGAGCCCTGGTGGCTGACGAGTGCTCGGAAAGGAACACGCTCCGCGATCACACGATCGGATGACTGTAAACTGGGACCGCCGTCTCACCCACAGTTTACACTTTCCCCTGCCCGTGTGCAGTGTCTGAGCTCAGTTTTCAGACCGCGTCTGCCGTGTGCTCGTCAGATGGCGGTGGTCGGCGGCCGGCTGGCCTGTCCCAGTGAGCCGGCCTCCGAGGTGGCGCTGCTGGACCCGCGCTCGGGCGCCGAGGCCGGCCGACTGGCGGCGCCCGCCGAGCTCGGCACGGTGATGGCGCTGGCGCCGCTGCCGGGTGCCGCCGGCGCGCGCCTGCTGGCCGTGTACGAGTCGGGCGGCCTGCTGCTCTGGGACCCGGCCCAGCCCTGCCGGCCGGCCGACCGGCTCCAGGTCACCACCGAGACGCCCATGTGCGTGGACGCGGCGACGGACGGCCGCGGTCTGGTGGGCACCTCCGGCACCGCCGTGCCCTCGTTCTCTGTCGGCGCCGACGGCCGTCTGCAGGCCGGCCCGCCGGCCGCCATCACCAACCCGGGCGTGGCCAGCGTGCGGCTGCGGCCCGACGGCCGGCTGGCCGCGCTCGGCTGCTGGGACGGCCGGCTGCGGCTCGTCTCCGGCCGCCGGCTGCGCCTGCTCGCCGCCCTCGAGCACCACACGGCCACCGTCGAGTGCGTCCAGTTCGCGCCGCGGCCGGTCCGGCTGTGGAAGGCGCGTGCGCTACTGGCCAGCGGCTCGGCAGACGGCACTGCCGCCCTCTGGAAGGTGTATGACGACTCATGACGCCGCCCCGCGTCCCAAGGCACTGTACCGTGAGCGCTGTAAGTGGCAGCGCGATCGGAGTCATCTGTGATACCGTCAGACTTGCGGGCCACTCATCCTGTATTCCGCATTCGTAACATGGCTGCGATCATCGGGTGACAATGACACTGGGAAAATACATATGACGAACGATGTGTATATCGCGTATCTCCGCGATCGGAGGCGCACAGCGATCGGGGCCGGGTGGCCGCGCGCGCTCAGTCCCACAGCTTGATCTCGCCGTCCCAGCCGGCCGTGATCAGCTTGCTCGTCTCGTGCGGGTGCCACATGGTCTGAATGCAGACGCCGTCGTGCGCCTTCCACTTGCGGTACAGCTTGGTGGTCTTCCAGTCCCAGACGTAGCACTTTCCGTCGGCGTCGCCCGACACCAGGTAGCTGCCGGGACGAGAAAGTGATCACTGGTCAGCGTGCGGTGAATGCAGTCGACAATTGACGTCCATGAATGAGGGAGCGTCGCCAAGGAATGAATCACATTGCGCCTGATGACCCAGCTACACATCTATTATTCTGATCGGATCAGAGAACTAAGCAATCGCACGTAATCCTAATCTGCCAATATTTTCTGAGGCAAGTTTATTTTTGCGAAAATATGATAAATTAAATTTATATTAATCGAAGAAAATGCTGCAACGTGTATGATGTTCATCAAAACTGCACGTTAGAACTAAGTAGGCTCGTTTGCCGAAACGTTTCAAACGCAAACGTGTAAAGCTGTGGAAAACAATCTGATTTAACGCGTGCGTACCTCATCTCCGGTGAGAAGTCGAGGCCGCACGCGTACCCAGCCACCATGTGTCCGGTGAACTGTTTCTTGCGGTGCAGCTTGTAGCGGTTGATGGCCGAGAAGATGCAGATCTTGTTGTCCATCGACTGACAGGCCAGCCACTTGCCGTTGGGTGAGAGCGTGACGGCCGGCATACTGTGCATGGACGGGTCGGCGATGTACTTCATGTCCACCGGGATGTCCCTGCGGCGGCAGATAGGATGTCAGTCACACAAACAGCAGGCGGGCCTGTATCAGACTGACAGTTCAGGACAGGCCGACACTGTTCCACTAGCCGACAGCCGAGCCGGCACCTGGCCTGGGTCCGAAACCGCAAATCACTTCCCAGTTCCCACCATGACAATGTGGCATGTGCCTTACGCGAACGGTCTGTTATCGCCGACACGGTTGCAACTTTTGACTTAAACCTTGTCTACAAACGGTAGCCGAGCAACACCAAGCACCTCACGGCACGCGGACTGTGGGGAACCTACAGCACACACAAATGCCGTCGTCGCGGCAGGACGTACCACTCCCAGATGCGCAGGCTCTTGTCGTCCGATGTGGAGACGAAGCGCCGGTTCTCGTCGATAAAGGTGATAGTGTTGACCGAGCCCAGGTGCCGGTCGTACTCCTGCGTTATCTCGCCGGAACGGGTGTCCCACTGCCGGCGGACGGACATGCGACGGGGTGTTATTACATGTCTGCGAGACCGGAGGAAGGGACGGTGCTCGTGGGCAGCGTATTTGTGGATAATAATGGGTAGAGCGGACGGGGTTCGACTGAGCCGCAGTACAGCAGGTAGGGACCGGGAAAGGAGGGAACGCAATTATAACGTAGGGCCACACAAAACTGGGTCCTTCGAGCCACTTTCTCCGTTTCAAATATGAAGCATAAAGTTTGTGTGACAAAATTATTTTACACATAAATGTTGACCCATCCACGGTAGATGTTCGAAAACAGGCGACGGGGTGCGTAATGTACTCGCAAAGGATAATCATGGTCCATACTCCATGGACAATATGCAAATATACTGCATGTGATCTCGAATGGCAGTAGTAAACGGTACTGGAAGTGGAATATAGGCTACATTTGATTTCCAAACGGTTTACCTACGAATAACACCAAATGTCTGACACCGACAAAGAAGGCGCCCTTTCACGCTACTCACGCAGAGGATCTTTTTGTCGGAGAGTCCAGCCACGAAGAGGTGCTGCTTGTCCTCGTCCGGGTGGAACTTGACGCAGTAGGGCACCTTCTTGTTGGTGAAGCGGGAGATGCACTCGCCGCGCTCCGTGTCCCACAGCTTTATGTAGCGGTCGTAGCCTGTAGACGAAGGACAGTCAGAGAGATACACTCATACGATGGATGAATAGCTGCACTATGCATAAGCTGGCGATTTGGGGTTTACAGGCACGTTAACAGCGAGGTCTCTACGTTATCCTGAGGTCATCACGACTAAACGGACGGCGAGGAAACGTAGGAAAGCACAGCTTTTCAGGAACTTCTAAAATCATCTTGAGATGCCTCCTGAAGCTACGTTATTACTAGGCACTAAGGTAGCTTACTCCGGAACTATCGTTTACTGCCTCCATCTACGACAACCGGCGGCAGCAATGATTGACATACTCATCAAGCGGCCATTTCGGCCACGAGGGTGAGCGTTGTACGGACCTGCCGAGAGGAACTGTGTGCCGTCGTTGTTGAAGCAGATGTCGCGCACGGCCTGCCGGTGTCCCAGGTAGGTTCTCAGCATGCGCCGCTGGTTGTACACCTCCCACAGCTGCGGCAGCACGGTCCAGGGGCTCGGTCAGGGAAGAACAGAAAACAGCATGGCAACGGCAAACAGAGTAGCGAATGGGACACACCGAAACGATAAACAGCACCGGAACGACACCGGAACGATTGTTTGCGGTAAATGAGTTCAAGACGTAACACAACACGTCAAAACGGGCTTAACTGTTAGCGGAGCATTATCCAGTATACACTATACACGCACGTGTTACATTGACATGTAAAGCTAACAAAGTAGGGGCCGATTTTCAGGTACCCCCATGAAGATGAATGCAGCGTGTCCACACTCAGCCGACCAGCTGCACCATCCAGCTCACGTCGACGCAGCTGGCCGATCCGTGAAGCACCATACCGATTCTCACCTTGATCTTGCAGTCCATGCCACAGGAGAGAATAAGATGACCCGACTTGGGGAAGAAGCGTGTGGCGTGCACACCCTTGCTGTGTCCCTGCCAGGTGTGCAGCAGCTTCTTGGGGATGAAGCACTTCTCGGGCGGCTCCTCTGAGCGCAGGTTGACGCCCACGTCCTGCGGCACGTGCAGGTACGAGCGGCCCTGGTAGTCGTAGGCGTCCTTGACGTGCAGTATGGTGCGCTCCTCCATCGGCTTGTCGTCCGTCTGCTTGCCGCGCTTCTGACGTTTGGCCGTGATGATGTCCAGCTCGGCCTGCTCCTCCTGGGCAGGGGCAGGGCAGGGAGGGGGAGAGCGTCAGAGCGGAGTCAGGGAGCGGGCAGGGCGGCAGAGTCAGAGCAGGGTCAGGGAGCGGGCAGGGCGGCAGAGTCAGAGCAGGGTCAGGGAGCGGGCAGGGCGGCAGAGTCAGAGCGGAGTCAGAGAGCAGGCAGGGCAGCAGAGTCAGAGCAGTCAGGGAGCAGGCAGGGCGGCAGAGTCAGAGCAGTCAGGGAGCAGGCAGGGCGGCAGAGTCAGAGCAGGGTCAGGGAGCAGGCAGGGCGGCAGAGTCAGAGCAGGGTCAGGGAGCAGGCAGGGTGGCAGAGTCAGAGCAGTCAGGGAGCAGGCAGGGCAGCACAGTCAGAGCGGAGTCAGAGAGCAGGCAGGGTAGCAGAGTCAGAGCAGGGTCAGCGACGGCGCTAATGCATTGATGAAAACTAAACAAATATCACTGGAGGCCGGAGGGGGAGATAGAAATGCAACATAAAGCAGGATGCTTGTGTCGGACTATTACCTCCGAGGGCTTCATGACCTTCTGTTCGTCGACGAATCCGCCCCAGGGCCCCAGGTAGCCGTCAATGTCGCTGGCGTCAGAATTCTTTTCGCGCTTTCGCTTGTCGAGCGGCCGCTTCTCCTTGGGCTTCTCGAAGACGGTGTGCGCGCCGTCGGCGCTGGTGGAGGCGGTAGCGGCGCCCACCATGCGCGCCGCTCCGTCATCGGTCACCGCCTCTGTGCTCGGGTCCACCGCGTAACCTGGACACACGCGACGGGCGTCCTCAGACACGAGCATTGTATGCAGCTTCAGACAACGAGAGAAAGTCGTTTTTATCTGCAGTTCACGCATACGATCAAAATAAATGCATGGCATACAAACTAAGTCCTGGCCCCATTCGTTATGGGGTGACACTTTTTACGGCAGCATTAAACAATCATTTTCACGGGTAGAACCGACCACTGGCTAAAGACGAATGCAGGGCAAGAGGAAGGACTGATCCCCCGTCTTACCGAAGCTGGTGAATGTGCGGCGCTGGTTCTCGAACTGGAAGGCGCTGAAGTGAGCCGGCTCCACATAGCCGGCCAGCGTGTTGCGCTCGGCGCGCATCTGCTGCGTCTGCGCCGGGTTGGCCGGTCCGAGCACGGGCGCGAACAGCTCGTCATAGCGCGGGTTGTACTCGAGCTCCTTCACACTGGGGTCGATGTGCCGCCGGCTGTCCAGGCCCGACTGACGGCGACAGAGCAGCACCTCGTCACAACTGCACGTTCATAGCAGAAATGTTCTACATCAAATGAAGAAGCTTAGGAAAAACATACAGTGAAAGCATATGTACACATAAAAGGATAAATGTACACAAAAGTGAGGCCTTACATACAAGTGAGGCTTATTATGTGAGTCACATTATGTACAAATATAGGTAGCGCCTTATTAGCCCCTGTACCAACAAGTCAACTGATGCCAGCTAGTGAACTTTGAAAACTGATCAATGGAAGCTGTGTTGTCATCTGCTCGCATCGAGCAAACATATTGATTTTTAAGTTAAGAATTAAGTTTTCTTTTGCAAATGTTTGTTAATATAGTTATTTACCAATTATGTCATAACTCTGATAAAATGTAGGCATTCCCATTGCATTGCAGAAAATTGACAGTTGGATAGGTATTCGCTTGAAAGAGAAATGCACACACAGATTGAAATTGAAGTTTTCTTCTTATATTGCTTACAGCTGCAGCACAAGACAAAGAATAAAGGGTAGGTATTAATTTGATTCCAGTTGAGGAGCTATGCCACCTTGAGTGACAATGCCACACCAGCCAGTTGAAAATCTGTCGCAGCCCATACCAAACAAGACCCATAATTTTTACCACTAAATAAGATATCTGCACTTTGAAAATGAAAACTGCAATAAAAGGCCAATCTTGTTCTGTAAAACCACTTTGTGCCTCCCACCCATCATTTCTAATGATGGTGAGCCAGCACAGGATTCCTGCATGGCATCATGTAGGGGCATGCACCACCTGATACAAAAACTGCAGGACACCAGTGAATCTGCATAGCAATGTGCTCTAGCTCAGTGATTCTGCACCAAACAGTATCCTCAATAAATTGCCATACTATGCAGTCTGACCAACATTCTATCTGGACTGGGAAGCATGGCAACACAGTGGTTAATGGGCCAATCCAGCTTGAGTGGCAAATCCCCACCAGCCAACACCAGCCCGAGACTTGAAACCCACACAATCTGGTATTAGTATATATTAGGTCCGAGTGGACAATTGTGACGCTGTTGATACAAATATGTAACAGCAAAAAATTTAGGTTTTAGGTTAGGTTAGGCTGTAGGTTTGTAGGTTTTAGGTTGGTAGGTTTGTAGGTTAGGTTAGGTTAGGTTGTAGGTTTGTAGGTTGTAGGTTGGTAGGTTGTAGGTAAATAGGTAAGGTTAGGTCAGGTTTGATTGTTTTTCTTTTATTTCCAAGACATATAAGCATCATTTTTGGATTCAGGATGTCAAATAATGTAAGAATATGAAAACTTTATCTTTTAACAGTCACTCAGACTCAATGTATACTTTTACCCACAATCTCACAAAAAAACAAGGCATGGCAATAAAAACTCACTCACCCCTGGTGCTACTGTTGGAGCAGAGCAGATCTGAAGCGTTTTGACCGAAGTCAAGCTTTCTGAAGATGTGATTGGTTTGAGATGGGCAGTCAATGCATCTTCATCCTCTCCTGAATCATTACTGTCTGATCCATAAGCTCTCAATGCAAGTATGGAGGACATCTTTGGATTGACTCACTTCAATTCTTAAGAAATGATCTCATAGTTCCAGGCCAATAAAAAAATAATAAACACACAGATGACAAAAATATTGATACCAAATCTTGGAGTTTGGTGGAATCAAACCCTGATTATTCAGTACCTAGTTCCTTTCTGTTTCTGTCAACATTTTAACACTGATAATAAATAAACCACATATGCCCCACCAATCCCTTTTACTGTGTCGCGAACTCAAAACATATAACTATGAGCGGTGTTTTACGCAACGCTTTTACGCAATGGGGCAGTTGACTGTGTACTTTTTTTAGCTCATAAAATTCGATAAGCACACCTATCCAATCAAGACACGCACGACGTCATGCTGCTGCTGTTCATTGGGTAAAATTCCCCCTTAATCTGATCATATTGCTAACGAACATAATAACGTGAGTCGCTTTTGCGCCATTTTTGTATCAAATCGTTCAGTAACCACTACAAAATTATAACCTGTAGTATCATGTAATAACTTGGCGAAAGTCGTCGGTCAATAACGTATCGTAAGAATAACCCCATGCCTCAGACCTTGGATCAAAGATCATAGACTGAGACAAAGCAGCCGTGCGCGGTTGTATGCGTACGTCAAACTTTGGACTCCAAATTTTGTCATAGAACAGGAGTCACGCGATCGAAGGGTAGCGGGCAGGTCAACGCAACAAGCTTCGCTTAGCGCGGGCTCAGTCCTTGTGAATCATTCCAATCAAAAGGTTCGGACTAAATTTATTTTTAAAAAAATAGAGACCAGCCCGTGCTTTCTAGCATAAGCCCGTGCTAGAAAGCACAGCCCGTACATCGTCAACATGCAGGTCGGTACCTAAATAAGGTCGTGTAGTCAAACCCTGTAAGAATCTTGGTCAAACCAACAACAAATGGTCACATGATAAAAACGACAAATAATGAAGTTCCGCATTGTATTAAACAAAACAAGAACGAAAAACAGAACCGAAAGTGCAAAGCAACTGATAGTGACAAAAGATCGCAAGTTGCGACCACAATTTAAATAGGTTTCCACTTAGAGTGCCCGCCCGATCGGAGGATCGGCGCTGCGCTCAGTAGTTGTAGATGTAGGCCGGCTGCTGGTAGACCGGGTAGCCCGAGCGATAGGTGTCGGCCGGAGCCTGGTAGCCGTAAGAGCTGACCGCCACGGACCCGTGGCCCGAGCGGTAGGTGTCGGCCGGAGCCTGGTAGCCGTAAGAGCTGACCGCCGGCGCGGATACGGCCGGCACGGCGGCCGCCGCGTATTGGTAAGCGGGCACGGGCGCGGGCGCGGGCGCGGGCGCCGGCACCTTGGCCACCACGGGCGCCGTGTGCACCCGCTCGCGCACCACGGGCACGTCGGGTCCCTCCGCCTTGGAGACCTGCTGGTGGGAGACGGCCGCCGGCACGGGGCTGTAGACGCGCGCGCCGCCGTGCTGCGCCGGCACGCCCACCTGGGTGAGCGGCAGCTTCTCCACGGTGGCCTGGAAGCCGTTGATGTCGTCGGCGGTGTAGGTGACGACGCGCTCGGTGCCGTCGGCGTCGACGAGCCGGTACTGCCCGCGCACCACGCCGCCGTCGCGGCTCTCCACGTGCGACTTGTGGTCGCCCGAGTACGGGTCCGAGACGCCATAGTTGAAGTCGTAGCGGGGGTGCGGGTTCACGTAGTCGACCACCTCCAGGGAGCGGGCGACCGGCGCCTCTCCGACCACCACGGCGCCGTAGCCGTGCTCGGGCCGGCCGGCCGCCAGAGCCGCCAGCGCGGACAGCGCAGCCACCACCTGCCGAAAGGGCGGGATATCAGCACGGGACCGGACGGCGGACAGGGAGCGCAGGTGTCAGCCATGAGTCACCGCAGTATGTGTACTACTTTATCGGTCGCTAATGTCAGAACAATATTCATTAGGCTGATGCCACTACATAGGCGCGGGAGCCGGGGGGCAGTGGGGGCAGCTTGCCCCCCCAGCTCTGGGGCCGTGGGGGCGGTGCCCCCACAGCTTTGAGACGGAATACCACACTTTTGTTGGAAATGTTTTCTTTTTTTTTGTTGAAAAAGCCGAGGGGTGAAAAATAAGTGGCCTAAAACCGGTGAGAAAACTAGATTTGGGGGTACCCTAGGTTAATCTCTATTATGGTGTGCCCCCCCAGTCGGAAAGTAGTTCCCGCGCCCCTGTGCCACTATTCAACGCCATTACTTGTATCAAATTACAGGACATTCCCGCTGCTAGTTCATGAACGAAAGCGTGCCGTTAATCGGTGACACTGCTGTGTCCTGCGCTATTGTTACAACCAAATATTCCCATCCAAGTCCCCGTCACCGCTCGACGATCTCACCTTAAGAGCCATCTCTGGTTTAAGCTTGGTGCTGCACGGAGGAGCCCGACCTAGCAGGTAGTGCCGTGCCCTGCGCCAGTTTCACTTTTATACCTGCTGTGCACCGGCGGCGGCCAAGGTCGAGGGGAGGGGCCGTCTCCGCGGGGCAGGGGTCAGAGCGTCTTGTGACCCCCGGCGGCAGCGCGCACATCCGGCCTGAGGCAGCCCAGGAGGAGGAGGAGCCAACACTGCTCCTGATTCACAGGACCGGTACCTACTTCAAAGCATCACACTTATTTCGCACTCCATTGTTGGAAAAGAATATGTGTGGAGGAAGGAATAAGAAATTATCGCACTCAGACTGATAAAATATCATATAAGACAGGCTTGACAAAGGTAAGATACCGGCAGCATGTGTTGTGTTTATGATACCGGCAGCATGTGTAAGATACCGGCAGCATGTGTTGGAGGTTTATGATTTTGATGATGATTCATGAGAATCCATGAGTTCATGACGGTAGCCGGTAGGTGCTAGGTATAAACACACAAACAAATAATGAAAAGAATCATAGTACTAAAGCCAAAACAAGATGTTCCAAACTGAGTAGAGTTAATATATAATAATCTACCAAACAGTTGTACCTAGTTATTAGGCATTTACCGGAAAACGACAAATACCTAATTGTCTCAGGAGTTCAACAACATTCAGAGAAAAACATGAAATGCGAGTACAAACGTACATTCCTCGTTGCACTGTGCGAAAGGCATACGTTATGCTTAGTCAGTTATAAACAACGCGTTATTTTCTTTATTCGAGTGACGTAAATACGTGAAGATACTCTTGAAACATCCACAGTCCACACATCAGCAACCTTTCTCGCGAGCCCTTACGCTTCGAAAATGTGTACCCCACATTTCCAGCTATCAGGGAAAACGCTGATTTCCAGCATACTTGATCCGTGCCAAGGCAGCTTGAGCGGTGAGCCTGATGAGTGATGAAATCGCAGTTGGTCAAAGGATGCTAGCACTTGAGACTGTAGGTGGCCATACCTATTGTAGTGCAGTGAGCAGCAGGATACTATGATAAACTGCAGTGAGTTACATAACAATAGCACCGGAAACTGCAGGGAGCCCAGGATACACTAGGATAATCGCATGTGTGTGCAGTCAGTTTTGAACGTACCGCACATTGGTGCGGTGGATCCATAAAGCCCGACAGAGAAGGGCTGCTAAATTTGAATCACTTAGCCAATTGACATTCTCATCCATCCTTCAGGTCGATTGGTTCAGTGACTCAGATTTAGCAGCCCTTCCTCATTGGGCTAGATGGATCCACCGCACCGATGCGCGATACTTTCAAGAGTGACTGCACAGGCCGATGTTGCTGCGATACCTGGTCCCCCAAGTTCCCCTAGTTACCGAGTGCCCTTCATCCATTGTTGGGAGCTCCGTCCGGCTGGGATACCCGCGGTCCCCATGTTCCCCTAATTACCGAGTGCCTCCCAGCCCATGTTGGGCGACTGAAATACGACACATGATACTAACACTGGAGACTGCGGTGGACCACATGACACTAACACTACAGAGGTTTTAAGGTTGCGGTGAAAGTTATAAATAATATAACTTTTACATTAATCCTGTACAAAAGTTAATATAACTTATATTAACTAAAATTTGAGGTAAAAAACATCACAAAACGTAATATCGTTCTTTTTTTTCTAGAACGATATTACGCAAAACACGCAAACACGCAAAAAAAACGCACGCAGAAAACGCATAGTGTAGCCAGGCCTTAACACTAGAGGTAGCAGTGAGCCGCAGGATATTACTGGATACTGCAGTTCGCAGAAGACAGCAGATGACCACATGACACTAACACCGGAGACTGCAGTTAGCCACCGGACGCTAACACCGGAGACTGCAGTGAGCCACAGAGCACTAGCACGGAGACTGCAGTGAGCCACAGAACACTAACACCGGAGACTGTCGTGAGCCACAGAACACTAGCACCAGACTGCAGAGAGCCACCGGGCGCTAACACCGGAGACTGCAGTGAGTCACAAAACACTAGCACCGGAGACTGCAGTGAGCCACCGGGCGCTACCACTGGAGACTGCAGTGGGCCATATGACAGTAACACTAACACCGGAGACTGCAGTGAGCCATGGGACACTAACACCGGAGACTGCAGTGAGCCATAGGACACTAACACCGCAGACTGCAGTGAGCTAGAGACTGCATTTGAACACAGGGCACTACCACTAGAGACTACAGCTGGTCATAGGATACAAACACCGGAGAAAGGCCACAGACTGCAATGGGTGGCCCCTGCCGTCAGCCTGTAATGAGTCACAGGACACTGACACTGGAGAGCGGAGACTGCAGTGAGCCACAAAAGTCGTTTAGTTACAGAACACTATAACAGCACAGTTAACTACAGTTAGCAATCAGAAAAATCCCTGAAGACTGTGGTTGTCAGTTGTCACATCATAATGCATGTTCATAATGTATGTTTTTCCTAATAGCCACTCCTCTTGGAGCTAGAGTTAGCCCTCGCCGGCCGAGGGTTAAATCTGCCGCACCCCTTAGGTTTTTTTCGCGATAAGAAATTCGGCATACCTGACCTTTGACTCAAGCCGGATCCTGTGACAACAAAATCATTTTCAGGTCAGGTCAAATCACTTAATTATGACGTCATAAGTGATCCTTTGCACGGTCCTACAATGTCGCAGCTCAGCAATGACCCCAGTGCCAGCGGAGCTCTCACAGGGGGTTACAGAAACTAACTTATTATCTAGACGCCTCACAACTTGCATAGCTCGGATTTTTCCTAAAGGTCACCTGAGGTCAGGTTAGGGAAATATGGAAACCTAACCATATTTCTTAGCCTGTGAGGGAAATATGGAAACTGTTATTTTGGAGCCGGGAATGATCTAAAACTTACTCAAACGCGTGGAATCGTCATTATAGTAACTATTTGCAAGGTTCGATGCTTCACTTTTGCATCATTGACCTTGCGTGACGTCAGTCATGACGCACTAAGGTCATAGGAGTTTTTTTTTTCGTAAATAACTTTCGAGCTAATTGAGCTAGCGAGTCGCGAAAGCCACCAATGGACAAGACAAGACTTGCCGAATCGAATGATATGTGATATGACCTCCTTGGCCACCAGCTTCGGTGGCTCTGACCTGAGTGGCTCTGACCTGACCCTGACCCGAGATTAACATCCTAGGTTTGCCTCACCTAAACAAAAAGTATATTTTTCGACCCGCCTGAGCATGGAGAACACGATTGTGCTAAACTCGCGCCTATGAAACCATTTTTTGCGAAGGTATTTACCAAAAACCGATCCCATACCTTGGGTCACTTGACCTGACCTCAGAGTTCACCGGTTCACCTGAGACCTTAAAATCGGGTAGCAGTCGTTGCGTCTCGCAACGGCGCTCACACTCGTTTTTAACGCGAGGCTCTAGCTCAAATATGGGCGAAACGGCGAGGGAGGTCGTAACTCGTACCCGCCCCTCCCCTCGGCCAGACGTACTTACCTATGTAGGAAATCAATACAGGTCCGGTGAGGGTTAAGGTACGAACGTGAAAGCTCAGAGTACTTTTCCAGAAACTTTCAAACCATTTTGTTGTAGGTATGCAGGAAGCTTGCCAGATAATGAAAAAGAACGAATGAAATGCGAAGCTTCACATAACTATTGCGCTATTTTTAGATTATCGATATGTCAGACGAGACGCAATTATTTGTTTCCTATAATCAGCTATCATACAAGTTGGCGTTGACGGAACAACAAGGCACGTCTTTTTATGTGTTTGTGCCGAGGATAACTTATAACCAAGGAACTAGGTACTCGAACCGTGGGTTAAGAAGTGATTTGAAAAAAAAAGTATAGCACTAATTACCTACTTCGTTGGTAAAAAAAATGTTTTAATAAATAAAAAACTATTTATGTTGATAAGACAATCATGGTATAACCACTCAGTTATGAACTAAGGCGTAGACCACTGTATATCTAGTTATATAGTGGTCTATGGCTAAGGTCATCAGCAGGAAAACGTGCATCTTCAAAAATGGACCCTAATTGCCTGGAAAGGTCAGGGTAAAGTCGCACATTGTGATGCACAAAACACCGGGGGTCAACCCTTTCTTGCTTACAAAATAAACAATGGCAATGCGTTGTTACATAATTGCACCATTTCAGTAGCACGGAACCGAGCGATGAATATGATAGCGGCGCAGACGCGAGGCCCTTAGAGTTAGACCCATCGCTGAGCGCAGTCATATATCCTGGGCCATGGGTTCTATGTAGTGTGTATCTATACATGTACAGTGAACAACCTTTCAGCCTCGTAAGGTGAAGTTGCCGTTAGCTTGTTAACAGGAGGTGCGTTCCGTTTATCGCAGTGCCATTTAGGACACCTGACATTTTCCATCGCGCCCAGTCAGGGGTGTAACTTTTGCTTTTGAGATGGGGGTGCACTTGGTGATGGGGGCGACCTTCAATGAGGATAGGGGCGCTTCCAAGGTGCATAGATGGTGCATACATTATACATTAGCGTCGCCACGGGGGGACAAGCGGGGCAGCTTGCCCCCCCCCCCACCCCGACCGGGCTCCCCCTGAGATCAATGCAGATCCGATGAGATTTTGGGGTCGGCAAAAAAATGGGGGTAGTTTTCATGAATGGCTGTAAAGTCAAAATCGGTTGGAGTCGCGAGTCCCAACCAGAGTCGGAGTGAGAGTCGCCAACATTTTCAGGACTTTGACTCCAGGCTCGAACGTATCATAACTTTGATTCAATCCATGTCTTGGCTGGTGTTAGCTGAATTTTACACTCGGTTTTCAACACTGTTGTGGAGCTGGGAGCGACCCCCTTACCTCCTCTCGGGAGCAGCGCTCCGTCCACGCGCAGAGACCGGGTCCGTCTAGTACCTACGCTGACACGAAATTTTAGTGTCAAGACCATTAGCGTCGCCACGGGGGGGGGCAAGCGGGGCAGCTTGCCCCCCCCCCAACCTTCAACCGGGCACCCCCTGAGATCGATGCAGATCCGATGAGATTTTGGGGTCGGCAAGAAGTGGGGGTAGTTTTGAAGAATGGCTGTGAAGTCAAAATCAGTTGGAGTCTTGAGTCCCAGCCAGAGTCGGAGTGAGAGTCGCCAAAACATTCAGGACTTTGACTCCAGATTCGAACATATCAAAACTTCGATTCAATCCATGTCTTAGCTGCTGTTAGCTGAATTTTACACTCGGGTTTCACCAGTCTAGCACGCTGACACGAAATTTTAGTGTCAAGACCTAGCTCGAAAAATTCGGGGTTGGGTTGGGGTCGTTTCCGACTCTGGCCAAAGGTCTGTGACATGTTCAAGTGCCGTTAAAGTACCACAGGGCTAACGAGGGCCGTGCGTAGGCTCCTAAAAAGTCCCACTGAACTCTAAGAAGGGATCCCACGCTAGCTTCCGAGGGACCCAAACTGACCTCTGAGGGCCCTCAGGCCGGCACTTATGAACACCACTACGATCTTCCACCGCTGATTCTGAAGGCTCGGGCGCAAATCTTTGAGAGCCACTTTGGCAGTCCTTTTAAGGGCCTCCGCCGGTCTCAACAGCCCCATATTGGCTTCTGAGGGTCCATCGGTGTGCAAGGGGCGGACCCATGGTAGTCTCTGAGGGCCCTTTCGACTTTGACGACCATCCTTACGACAGGCCTATGAAGACCTACACGGGCCTTA